AAAGAAAGCTAATAAGGAGAGGCGAAATTATTTTCAGCCCATGGAAACATTCAATTTCTCCGGTACAAAAAGCTCAATCCACCACAAAATAAAATATATAAAAAAAAATGTGGGGCCAGGTAAACATTTTCTTCTCTTCTCAGACGATGAGGAAAATGAAATTGCGGCACGCTGTGATTTTTCAATAAAGCGGTCGGGCGTCAGGTATAGGGTCGGTCTAGTCCTCAAAACTCACCCTCGAAACAGAGAAATATATTTGGCTGCTTTTACATAATATTTCAATTTCATCTAGACCCACTCAAGAGACGCACGGAATTATATTAAAAAAGAGAACCTACTAGGGTGGGAAGGACGGAAAACGGCGGCAGTTGTGCCAAGACTTTGCTTTTCTTTCGGGGTCGAGCTTGGTTTAATATAAAAAATTGGCAGGTGCGGATGCGAGATATGGAGTTATTATTATACATATATATCTCGGGAGGGCGGCCATCTTTGGTCCGCGGGAAAGAAACAATGCATCTTTCTTTCGGTGTAGTGATGCTGGAATTGCAAATGAGCAGAGAGGGTGCCGTTTGCGCCGGGATAACTTTTTGTCTCCTATCGCGCGCCCACAACAGATGCCATTTTTACTGTTCTTTTCGGGGGCTGAAGCGGCCGAGCTCCCCTTGTTTATTGTTGGTTTTGTTGAGCTGTTTGCTCTGTGGCCGCTCTGCTGCGGTGGTTGGTCATTATCTTGACCAGAAAAGCTCACACCTAGCAGCGCAAACGTGATTTGTGCGGCAATAAAGGGCTTGCTCGTGTTCTGATTAAAGATTGTGTGGGATTAATTACAATCAATGTGCGTTGAAAGCATAAAATATAAAGTATTTAAATATTCTTTTCAATTTATTTTTAGCCACTACAGTTTATTTTATTTAAAATGAATTTTTTTTAATCAAAATTATATATTTTAATTATTTTATAAATTTTTAATAATTTCCATGAATTATAACTTCATTTGATAAATAACAAGTTGATCTTTTTATTGGTTGAACTTTAATATAAGTATTTTTATTTCACAACATTGCCTTAACATTTTCAATATTCTTAATTTATGCAAGACTTTTGAAATGAATATGCGAATGTGCAGTTGTGGAAATGAATAGTTATGAGGAAAATAAAATGAAATTGCTATAGAACTTTCTAATCACTAGAGTACCGTATGTGATATTCAAAATTTAAGGTTTTAATTACAAATTTTCCATTTAGTATGAATTTTGTAATTAAATCAATTGCAAATACAAATTATCCTAATTTAAAGTCTGAATGTTTGTCTTTCTTTGTAATTATTTTGATTTGCCGGTTGCACTTTGCATATTTTTAAGGCTCTTTTACAAAAAATAATTTTTTATTATCATACACAGATGGATTGCACAAAGAAAAATTCACATTTAATGGAGGAATTAATTTTTTTTCTGAACTTGTAATTCTGGTAATTGTCGGAAATTGTTATATTTTTTTTTATCGACCCACAAAGATTTAATTTTTTTAAGCCTACATAACTTTTTTAACTTTTAATCAAAATTTAGAACTCATTTTGTTATATTTTTAAAAGCCATTTTAGTCTTGCACCTGGGAAAAAAGAAAGATTAAGTGTAAAACTTTCCTCTTAACGCAGCGTGCCAAAGCGCGAGCGAGAGATAATGGCTGTTGGAAAAGTGCAATTTACGGGCCGCACCGTTCTCATTAAGTCTCCTCGCTGCTGGTGGAAAAGCCATTTTAATTGCCCCGAATCACGCGGCGCTCGCTGCGGATAATGACCAAAAAATAAAGTAGAGAGCAAAATGACTGGCTGCTTCTCTTATACACTTTTTTTATGCGCGTCGCCGCCGCCGTTGGCGAGCTTAATTGCCAAACTTTTTTATACGCTAAGCAGCACAGCGCAGTGGTGGAGCAGGAAAACACATTAAGCGCTCAAGCTTAAAAATGAGCAGAACATTAAAAAAGAAAATAAGAGAAGAAATAAGAGACCGCGCCTCTCGTGGAGCGAGAGAACGAGCGAAATAACTTTGACGTTTTTTAATTCGTTTTTATTCTGCGCAGTAAAAAACGCACAGAAAGTATGCGGGGAGCTAGAGAGAGAAATGGAGAGACGCTGGCTGCGGGGATAAAAGTTAATTTGAAAATGACGAAACGTGCCGAGGAAAAAACGCTCAAGACTCGGCCAAGATTGTGCCAAATTTCGCAGTCCAGCAGAAAATTTTGTTTCAGTAAAATTATTCAAAAAGCATGAAATGAAACAAAAAAAATTATCTCTTTAAGAATTTACAATTAGAGAAAGATATAAAATGTTTTAAACGGTTTGAATATTTTTTTTACCAATGTTTAATATAATTCCTGTTTTCTTCATCCTCACCATCACAGATAAGTAAATTAAATTATTATTAATTCCGATAAATTCTATAATCGGTGCAAAAATTCCCATTTCCATTTTTTTTTAATATAATTTTTGTGAATTAGAAACAATAATACACACATAAATTTCTCAAAATTCCAACAATTAACGGCCATTTTGCCGCGATGGAGACTCAGAAGATCCAAACAAAGATCGAAATAATTGCGGAAAAGGAAAATTCGTAATCAGAAATAATAAACGCGCTCAGCATCTCGCCATTTTTTTCTATCGCGCTTTCTCGCGGTATCGATTTTCTATTTCAAATCTCTTTCTGCCTGCTCTCTCTCGCCCTCCTCCGCCACCCCCTCGTACGTTTTTTTCATTTCACCCCTCAGCCTCACGCAGAGCGAGAGAAAGCGAGCGAGCATCCCCTGCGTCCTCCCCTAGGCACCCCTAGACTTCCATCTAAAAAATTCTACTTCCTCTCTCCGCGTGTGTTGCATATGCAATTTTGATGACGCTCTTTCTCCTCCTCGGCCCTTTTTTCTTGCCACGGAAATTTTTTTCGCCCGCACCCGCACGGTTAAAGGGATGAAAAATAAAAAAGCCGCGTTAAAATTACAGCAAATCCATGCCAATTAAAAAAGAATTTAATTAATTACACCGAGGCAGCGAGCAGAATTAGAAAAAATACCTTTTTCCGAGGGAGAGATTTGTAACCAGCAGGGTAGCAACCCTTGTTCCGTAATTAATTGGCACTCGACTTTTTTTAATTGTTGTAAACAGGAAGGCTTTTAAGCCAGCAGCAATTTTTCTTTTCCCTCGTCTGGCAGAAGGGGTCCTGTCGAGGAAATTAATTATGCAAATTTTTCCGCCCGGAAAGTTTCTTTTCCTCATCGCAGATTTAATTACGCGCTCATTAATTTACCAACAAAGTGCGAGACTTGTTGCTATACACGCCCTCGGAAACAAGGTGCTTGGGGTTGTTTTCGGGGGTGTTGTTTTCTTCGTTTTATCTTTTATTCATAGCCGTCGCTTTTTCTTCGAAATTAATGCAATTAGCAGTGGAGAAAAATGCAAATTCGCCTCCTCGGGGTGGATCGCGGGAGCGGGAAAGTCTTGGTTCTGTTCATCGTAGGGGCATCTTCAGCGGTGCACCCCAACTAAGGGTGCGGGTTTGGCGCTTGTGACGAGACTGGCGCCATGAAGCGATCAGAACTTGAACTGGGAGGTAGTTTTTGTTGTTATAAATTTTCTATGCAGGCGAGTTTTTATTTAAAACAATTTCTTCAATATCTTTAATTGAAAATACCCCAAAATTATGAGAAAATTCATAATATAATTGCAGTTTCCTAAAACTTATTTTGTTTAAATTTCTCAATTTTCCCATTCAAATTTGGCCGAATTGTTAAAAAGTAAATAGAAATTAATAATGCAATATTCAAACAGCTATGTTTTTAATTAATTAAATAAGATTAAAATTGGTCTTTTAAAATGACAATTAGTAAAATACCTCAGCCAAATTATATTGCGATATGAATTGAACAATTGAAGTGGGTTTTAACTCTGCAATTATAAATATTTTTAAAGTTACTGAAAATGTTAATTATGTTTTCATTTTAATAAGAGTTAGTTTTAAAATTTTCTGGTTTTTAATCACAAAATTAAACTGAAATGTTTTTATAATCAATGAAAATGTTAAATTTTTAAAAGTATAATAAAAACATTTACTTTTAAATTTAAGGAAAAAAATTATAAGCAAAAGTAAAATTAAGAGTTATTTTAACTCTACCTTTTGAAGAGAATCCAAAAAGCAAGCTGCATTATGCACCGTGTCTACCGATGGACTAGAGAACCCTAGCCCAGTTTTACAACCCCGCAGACGATTTTTTGTGTTAACAGCGCGAGCCACCCCTGTGAGGGGCTGGAAAAAATTGTGCACGTCCGCTGCGTCGTAAAAAGTGCATGTGAAAAAAACGTGAATGGGTGAGTGTGGCGCGCGGGGGGAGACCCACATTTTTTTATATTTCACATCTGATCCATTGTCTGGCCGCGCGCGCCGAGAAATAATCGATAAAATTTCTATTGCGCTTGACGTCAGCTGAAATGTAAAAAAAAACGCTCACCCCTCAACCTTGACAAAAAAAGCGAGCAAAGCTTCTGGCGGTTGTAACGAGGCTTTCAGCTGAACATGCACTATTAATGCATAATAAAGGTGCACAGCTGTTCTTGCTATTATTTCTCAATGGCCACTTTCTTTCATCATTGACATAAAAAGGAAGTATATATTTATTTAAAACGATTTTTTTATGATTACAATTTTATGTTTTATTTATAAATCGCGTAAATAAAAATCACATCAAGCCAAAATTAAACTAGAACCGTTTATTCAATAATGAATTTCTTCAAATTAACTATGACTCATTGTTGTAGAAATAGATTTCTTAATTGGAACGACAATCAGTTGTTCCAACAATGAAATTAATTTGCTAAAATTAGTTACTTGAAATTTTGTTTTATTTTGAGATGCCTAAATGAATAATAAAACTTTGTCATTATAAATCTGTCACGGTTCAATAATGTCCTCTCTGTTTAAATTTTGCAGTAGTGCCGGTTTGGCATCGAGTCCGAATCCAGAAATGATGACGTTCACTAACGAAATGACGAAAATAATGCCGGTGGTGATGTTGTTGATGACGTCTGCCTTCCGCTGGTCTTTCTCTTTGTTGATGTTCAAGTTGCCGAGCACGACGAAGAGAACTCCGACCAGAATCTGAGGGCAAAGCGGTCACCAATGCAGTGTGTGTGTCTCAAAGATTTCTAACCCTTCCCTCAATTACAATTCACCACGATTTAGAAATTTAAAAAATAGTTTAAATCGTTTATTCAATCCATTGAAATTATTTAATTTTATACAAAACCCATATCAACATTATTATCAAAAATTAATTGTTATTGCGTTTCTCGACGCACACAGTTTACAATCAAGGGAAGGGGTCGATCTGTTAAACAGGGGCGGCGGGGTGCAAGGGTCGAGGGTTGAAGACCGCGATGAGCAGGTTGACCGCCGAGACGAGGAAGGCGCCGGACAGGGACAGGTAGTTGAGGCACAGGGCCGAGCTCTTGTATTCTTGCTGGTGCAGCCGGCAGTCCCTCAGCATGTTGAGCGACAACGCCAGGCACCCCAACACCACCTGCGCTCAACAACCACCTTCCGCTGAGTATATTCCAAAGTTTTCTTTTTTTTTTAATTCTCAAAAAAGCAGCATTTTATAGTTCGACTTTGGGATTTATTATTATCAGGCCCAATGAGGCAAATGTCTTAATCCGTCTTAGCCTTTTAATTCCAAAAATAATATTTTTCTTAATTTAAATTAATCTTCGATTTCAACGAAATATTTGCTCATAAGTTTGATATTTTTTAGTATTTTTTTTTAAATTTGTTCGAATAATTTCAATTAGAAGCTGAATCTAATTAGAAGGGATAATATATACCTGAAGGACGATTGAGACTGATATCAGCGTGACCATCAGAGTGTAAAACTCGTGCTGCTTTCCAACCTGGGAAACAAAGCTAATTAGCCAAAGTGCCATTGAATCGAGCGAAACTTTATAATCACACTCTGCATAGGTTGGTTTGAGGAACGTGATTGCGTGATTAGGTGTCATTGCTTATGAAGGAAAACTTTTGCATCAAAATAATTTAATTTTAGGCTCTCAGGTGTGTTAGTGATGAATTTGAACGATCATAAAATTTGATGACTAGGATCAATAATGAGGTCAAAATCTTTGTGCTGCAATGGGGTGTTGAAAAAAAGACTTCCCTAATTTTAAATCTGAATCTTGAGGGATTTTTTAAATTACTAAATTTGCCTTACAAAGTTACTTCTCCTTCAACATACACATTGAGATCGACACTTCTCTCAAGGTTTAAGCTTTTGGCGGAAAAAGTTAAAATTTTGGTCAACTCTGATTGCAAATTTTTTGATCAAAATTTCGATTTCGGCAACAAAATTTTATGTTTTTTCAAATTTAAAATTGAAGAATATAAATTATTTCAACAAAACCCTTCCTTTTTTAGTTTAAATTTAGGATATTTTTTTAAATAAAATATTCTTTTTATTTGTTTTGTTTTACCTGCAGGATGTATTTTAACTGGCTGGCGTTGGCTGTAAGAAGGGCGATGTCCAGCATGCCCTGCGCCAGGGTCTTCTTGCTGGCATACCGGTTGGCGTCAATCGCCTTGTGTACCTGCGAAAAGGCCAAAACCACGCACATAAGACCACTCTTTCATCTCAAGCATGACTATCCAAATATTTGCCCTCTTTTCGGGCGTCCCAGATAAGATAGCAATTAAATTATTAAGGGGCTATTATGTTGAATATTAAAGTCAGCTGCAGGATGCTGATGCGCGAAATTTAAGAGAAAAATCCACCATGATTCCGCATGTAAAATTTTCAACGTTTCCTGTGCAGCCTTGGAGCTCCGTGGCTTTTTGTTCACACGGTCTATGCTTTGTGCGCATGAAAGCGGAACAGAAGCGAAAAAGAGACGCGACTGAGATTCGCAACAGTGCATGAAACTGCAAGTTGCTCAGAGCAGAAAATTTAAAATTGAGAAAAATATGATCATAATCCTTTCTTATAATCTTGAAATATTTCCAAATAACGGTTTCTTACAATTCAAAACATAAAATTGAGATAAAAAATGACTTAGAAATCTACCTTAAATAACAATTTCTCTTTGGTTCCTAAAATTTGCATTTAATATATAAATTTAATTAATAATTGTTTCCAAAAATCTCTGCATTATAATTTAATATTTTGTTACTACAGAGCTATGGCTGCTAATTTCCAGTCAGTCATTTTTTGATATATGTGTAGCAATTAAGAGATCAAATTTTAACACATTCTAAGCTATTTTTATTTGTAAATATTTAAAAAAAAATTGATATTAGTACTTACTGCAGCGGCCATTGTTCTTTCCAAGGGAATCTTACGTGTGTCAAATCACCATAATAAAGAATTCCCAACCAAAACAAAGAATGCTATGACCTGATTAAAATAGAGCTTCTTTTTTATTTCAAACGAACGCGACTACTAAACAGGTGAGCTGCACCCAAAATGCATGCAGCCGTGCTCGCGCGTTTCCAATGACAACCGCCTGCCCACACAAAACACACACCATTAGTATTTGACACCGAATGAATGTGTGCCTCGGTCGAGCAGTCACCGCACGTATTATGGAATTAAATAATGATCTATCCCGGCCTTGGCCTGACGATAATAATATATGCATTGTTCGGCTCACTTTACTGGAAATCAATCGCATAAATCTGATAAAAAATGTTTTTCTTCGTAAAAAATAAATTTAAAAAAAAAAACGAACCACATCTTGAAAAGCTGGCATCTTCTCTGCTGCTCCCGGTCGAGAGCCGCCTCCGCCGCCTCCAACTGATTTGAGCGAGCGATCTGCCTCCGAGGTCCGTGCCACTCGCTTTCCAAACTGCGACTATTCGTTTACCGCGAATCCCTTCTCACAATTAACCGTGCCGCATGCGAGCCTCTTGACGGTGCTCGAAAAGGGTTTGCATGCGCCGGCCACAGTTCCCAGTACTCGATCTGACGACCGTGAGTCAAATGCCACCGTGACTTTTGCGGTGCTGGTCGGTGTCATTGGTTGGAAAAAGCCTAATTTCGCTTTGCCGTGCAGCAGCAGGAAACATCGGTTTAATTTTTTATTCTTTTCGCCTCGTGGTTGTTTGTCTTTTTGATACACACATGCTCTGCCAAATAAGGTGACGTAATTCACCATAATGTAAAAGGCAAACAACAATGACTGTATAGGTCTAATCAGAATTAACAAGCCCACAATGTTTGATTTTCGTTTACATCAATTGAGTCGTACTCTCTAAAATGGGATTTTTTTTTCTCACTAATATTTTATCGTTACTTTAATTATAGTTTATTAAATTATAATTGAGCTGTTCCGAAAATATCTTTTGTCATTTGCATGTTAGGAATAAATTAGTGAACATAATATTAATTAAGAGGTAACTTAAAATTTATAGCATTAGATAAAAATTTTTTAATTTAATTACCCGTCTGCCAGGATTTTCATCGTCCATCGGAGTTACAGAATTTCCGTTTCCAACCCGGTTATTCATCTCCATCAGATATATTCCTCCTTGACTTAGATTTTTTTTTATCTAATTCAGGAAAAAGCCGATCTCCGCAATGCTATCATGTCTGCCCTCTCTGTGTTCTCCGTTGGCACCGAGTGAGTTGCACCACCACAAAGGCGTCCTAGCGCCAAGCCGCCATCCTTTATCGCGCGTGCACCTTTCCGCTGGCTCTTTTGACGGAAAGTAAACATATTCACGCGTTTTGTTAACCGCATGAAGGTCCTCTGGCTCTTTTATTAGGGCAGGGTCGTCTCTCCCATTTGAATATTATAATACCCGTCGCAAGCGGCATCTCGTTTGTGGTGGAAAAACTTGCACAAGATAAAAATTTTCCAACAAATTTGGTGAAATTAATTTTTAATTGAAGTTGTAGATAAATTATACGATCAATTTTTCCTCAGCTGAAAATTTACCGCATGGCCCCGCGCACCAGTAATACTGTTGACAAATGTAAGTTTAAGAGTAAAGAAAAGTGCAATAATTTGTATAGAATACTCGAAAAATAATTAATATAATATTAGTTTCAAAGAGAATCCAAGAAATATTCTCAGATATCCGAATTGACATAATTCTTGAAAACCCACATTGTGATAACTGATAATTCAAATGTTAGTGAATTAAAAAAGTTAATATCTTTTCACTAATTTTTACCAGTCTATAAATTATCAATTTATAATTAATTTATATTGATCTGCTATGAATATGAATTGAAGAAAAAATTGGCGATAAAAAAGTTAAAAAACAATACCTGATTATTGGGATTGGCTTTCAACAAAGAATATTTTTTTTTAGTCTTTTTGCCAATTTTTGTCATTATTGTGCCCCCAGGTTCGTTGAAAAGGTAGATAACAATATTACGTTTACAAGGAGGAAAGGTAATTACGACCTCTACTTGCTTTTTAAAAGTTGATAAAGCTTTACTGCTGCGGTATTTAAGTTTAATTTTACCCTCTCATTACGACCAGCAGTGCTCGCCAGGAAGAAGCCACAACTCGTGATTTTAAATACTCGCTCTGAATATACATTATATTCCGATGTTGTTAACAAAAAACATGGCTGTGGAGCTTGTAAAAAGGAGACTTTTGTGGATTCATATAGTCGGAGTATTTTCCTTTTTACTTTACGCTCACTTGTATTACCTCATATTTGAAACACTGACAACAAACCGCGGTTCAAGTGTAAGTATAGTTTGTGATAAAACTTTAAATTTATGGCTTTTTAACTTCCATTCAGAATAAAGAACTGACTCCATGTCCTGATGGCCCGATTGTTACTGCGGTGGATTCTGGCCGTTTTGGCAACAAATTTTGGCAATACGCTACCGCTTGGACCATGGCGAGGATCTTGAACAGGACAGCTTTTGTTCCCAGAATTGTGTTGCACAATTTAACTCGAATCTTCGCAAATCTCACTATCCCGGCGCTCGAAGACATCGAGCACTGCAATATATCTTTGGAAAAACCCATTAACAAAACCGTAATACGCGATAAAATGAATGAAGGATTACAATTTGAGGGAGAAAATCTAAACATTGACCATAAATATATTCTATTTGAAGCCATATTGCCATTTAGGCAAATTTTAAGGAGTGTGTTCAGGTTCAGAGAAGACCTCTTAGATCTGGTGCGCCAAACAATCGAGGAGGTCGGAGGAAAGGGCCAGACCTTAGTTGGGGTCCACGTCCGAAGAACTGATTTTGTAACTTTTCTCCCAAAAAGCTATAAAACTCAGCTTGTGAATGCAACATTTTTCAAGGTTTAAACATTTTTATTTAATATTAAGAATAAAATAATATTTTAATTGTAATTACAGAATGCAATGCAGTGGTATCGGGATCAATTTCCAGGACCACTCATGTTTCTGGTTGTGAGCGATGACATTCCCTGGTGCAGGAAAAATCTGCTGGACGAAGACGATGTGAAAATCGCGTCAAAATCACCCGAACACGATTTGGCCCTTCTCAGCGTGTGCAACCACACGATTTTGGACTACGGCACCTTCGGACACACGGCCGCCTTCCTTTCCAAAGGGCACACGGTCGCTCTGTACGTGAACGACAAATATTTCACTTCGGTGATGGCACGAGAAGCAAACTGGACACTTTTGAGTAAAGGAGACTATAAAGAGATGAAGCGCAAAAAACCACCTCACAAGTTTCAACCCCTGCAGTGGGCGCAAAACCTTGCGCCACCAACGATTAAACCAAACTTGTTTGTGAATGGGTGACGTGACTCATTAAAAAAATTAAAAATTATAGATAAAAATAAATTATAATTCATGTTTCATGGGTTTTATAAAAACAATATCATCTGTTTATGCGCACAGATGATTTGGCTGTTAATATGATTTTTTTTATAAAAATTAAAATACATGGAATCTCCACTGTTAATTTGAAATTTAAAAAGAAAATAATGTTAAAAAAATAAAAGATCAGAATAGAGCAAAATGGCAAGTATTAAATGCAAATTTCGTTGCTGATTGTCTTTTTGTTTTGGGTTTTCTCCTTACAAAAGATTTTTCATTTTATTCTTGTGGTGCATTTGTTTTTTGCTATTCTGTCTTGCTAGATTTTTTTTATCTGTCTCAATTTTTTTGTTATATTTTCCTTTTTAAATTATTATTAGCCAGAAAATCTCTCAATCCGCATCCATAGCAATTAACCATAAATGTTTGCAACAAGATGAAATCATCTCAGGAGAAAATTTCATTTGAATAGTATCCAAAATTGCAAATTATTTTCAATAGTTGCTTTTTTCAATATACAGCCGTCATAATATGATTGTTTTTGTTACAAACAGGGGGAATTTTATGAAAAAATTAAAACCGGGTGAACCTCATTCTTAAAAAATATTCTATATCAAACTTAATTTTTTTTTGTATAATTCTAATGAGGGAAAAATAACAAGGATTATCATATTTATCATCAAAATGTGAATTTAATTTTTTTAATAAGATCTTGACTTGAATAATAATTTAATTATCATCTATAGATACTCTTATTTTTTTAATAATTCAATAAATGGTTCCTATTGTTTTATTTCATTTCACTAGATTTATATGCTAATGAACAAGTCCTTAATTCATTTGTGTTGATTGTTACTGTTGTTGTTCCATAATAATTATTGTACCCATTGTTGCTGAAATATGTCATGTTTCGTTTCTTGTCCGAGTGTCGAACCATTTTTTAATCTTCTATCAGATAATTTTAAAATTTTTAATACAAACTTTAGTCTGCCCTACTCTATTCCTGCTTTTTTTATGAATATTGATCAGTTTTTTTTAGATATAAATACAATTTTTGATGGCCGTATGCTTGCTCTGCCGCCTTTTCGCCAAACTTACTCGACGTATGTACTTTAAGATCCGACCAACAGAGGACACTAGTTGTTCTGCTCGGACGGCGGCCGCACGATGGCCGCCTTTGTTGTGTTCCTCGGCAGCGGTCGAGCAGCTGAAGCGGGGCCTGAACCTTGACTAACTCCCTAGAGCTGTGTTTGGAAACGAGAAAAAGTTGGTTCGGGCGCCTTTGGCAGATCCTCCGGACTTGGGCGCCGGGCCTAGTGGGGCCGTCGACTCGGCTCTGCTCAGCCAGTCAGTCTCTATCAGATGTTGCGTGCTCGGCAATGGCGGTGATCGGGGCATGCGATCCGGCCCCCGGACGCTCGCAGGCCCTCCGATAGCCGGTCCTCGAGGCCCCCACGATGGCCACGACCAAGTCGCGGCGCCACTCAGACACGGACAGCGGCGCCCTGCTGCGCACCCCGCTCAAGATGCACCCCACACCAGGTCAGTACGAATGAAAAAGAAAAATCACAAGGAGTTCCTGTCTTCTCGGGACACTCGAGGAGGAGGTGAAAGTGAGTCCGAGCCTCCGAGGAATGCGGCTGGGACGCACACTCGGGACAACCGCTTGATCGAAGCGGAAAATTGAAAACGATTTTGACACTTTTATCTCTGATGTCCACGTTTTTTTTCATATCGAATCAATTCACACGCGGCATGTGAGTGTGGAAGGGAAATGTATTACATAGTCTAATTACAAACACTTGCAGGCCTTCGTAATTTTAATCACCTTAGACAAAGTGGACGAGTGTCCACGTTAAAACTAGAAAGAAGTTTTGTTTAATTAATGATCATGAAAATTAAAAAGAAAAAAAGCCGGTATTAATTTTTTTTTTTATAAATTTAGTTTTTCATTTAATTTCATAAATTAATTTTTTTTTAGGTCACAGTAATTGTCATCTGTGCAGGAAAATACGCACTTACGTGTCTCAAGAGTATTGAAGTATTGATTTTTCCAACTCCGAGCCATATGCGCTGTTGTCGTTTTGAATTTCGTCGGAATTTCCATCAACAAGATATTAAAGCGTGATTTGTTATTCAAATAAGTAATTTATTTGATAATTCCACTCGCTTTCAAATTATGATTCATTGCTTCTATTGGAATTTGAAATTTATTAATATTTCATTTATATTTATTTATTGATTGTTATTAAATGTACTAAAAAATAGACAAAACTTTTATAAATATTTTGTTTGGTTTTTCATGAAAAATAAAATTTATTATCAAATATTATTATCAAGCAAAAAATAAATTCTAAATTTATTATTTTTTTTTTTTTTGTAAAAAAAATCTCAAAAGTCCAAATCATTAAATATTTTTGACAATGATTTATGGTTTATTTTTAATTTTTCTTCTTCAAATATTAATAACCAAATTCTTAGTGTAAAAGTAAAAAAAAAAAAATGGAGAAAATTGACTCCAGCACTGTATGAAAGATAATTTAAAAATTGTTAAATTCAAATTAATTGCTGAAACCTTCTTAGCCTGAATTTATTGAAAAAATTTTAAATAAATTGAAAACATATAATCGGTTCATTACAATTTAATTGCTTTTTAAATTTGGCAAAAAATAACTTTTATTTGGAAAAAATGCTAAAAAAAATACTGCAACAAGGAAAAGCCCGATCTCTTCATTTCCATAAAAATTAATCGTTAACTTCAAATTCTCTATCAACATTGTGAAATTTTCTTAAAAAAATTTCCGCAAAGCCTATTTCGAGCTCAAAATTGAATTGCAACACCTGTCGTTGGTGTTATTGGTGAGCAATCCTTGGCAGAGGCAACGAGAATTTTGATTAATTTTAAAACCCAAATTAGGACGCACTTCGGTAATAGGTCGTAGGGCGTTGCTATTTAAGCGATCTGGTTTTTTTTTTTGCCAACAAAGCTGACGTCGGCCAACATTGAATTGTGAATTTTTTGGCAAAACGCAAGTAAGCTGAGATCAAAATTACTATGCCGAGATGAGAGCTAAACTAAATAGGCCACGCACTCGGGTGATTCATGGAAATATCGGTCCGGCTCACTTTCTAGCTGCGTCGCACGCCAACTAAGCATCGCAACATTTCATCTCGGAATTCCGACGTTTTGGCCTTAAAAGCAATAAAAACGGCGTTAAAGCTGCGGTTAAAAGTGTTCTTGATGAAAGTGCTTTTGTTAGAATCAGATAAAGGAAGATAACATTCATTGACTTTTGTGATGAACAATTTTAATTTAAAATCTCTCACGATGATAACAAAACTTTTGATACAATTTTTTTTCCTGCGGCCCTGAAAGCTTGAAAAGGGACTCGCTTTTTAGTCGGTGGAAAGTTCGAGCAAAACATTCAAGGCTCCTAATTATTTTAAATTATCGTAAGATTTTATTCTTTGTTTCACGCGCAATGTTTTGTTAAAGATCGTCAATTCAAAGACTAGGAAAATTTGATTATATATTTTATTACAGTTTCAAGATCGCTGCAAATATTTATTTTAGAAACTGAATTTTGGTAAATCTGAAGAGAAAATTTGATGAAATAAAAACATTTTGACTTGGATGATTCATTTTTAAAAGTTTCGCATTTTTATAAAATTGGCCAATACGAACGACCAAAATATTCCTTCATTAATTTAATTTTTTTTTTATTATTTAATTATATTTTTTTTAAATCAACTAGTGTAAATTATATTTTTATTATAGTAGAGTTTCTTGATAATTTGTCTCTAATTTTCGTAATTTACTAGATAACTATGATGTTAACATGTAAAGACAGCCCCCGCCTTTTCCTTTCTCTTAGAGACTACCAATTAATATCTATTCAAATTCCACCCACGATCAACAGGTTTACTGCGTGGCTTCTTCCTACATCAGACCCTAAAGAATCGTACGGAAGGAAATTGATTACCATATATTTCACTCACAATGAATTACTGATTTTTTTAATAAGTCTGGACTTTAATTTGTACTAAAAATATATATCCACTGAAAAGTCAATATTTTGAAAATGAAAAAAGATAAAATAAGTATATTTAAGATATAAAAGTTTCATTGATATTTACTTCCAAATTAATGATTATCGCTGACCAAAAATTAAATAATAAAAATATAGAGAAAAAGCTATATTTTTAATGAATTACGTATTTTTATTTACTGACAGTATCTTTTTAAAAGTTGCAATTAGTGGTTATTAATACGTTTCAGGCAGTAGAAAAAACCCAAAAACTAGGAAAAACGTGATTTTAAAAAGTACTACAAAGTTGAAGAAAAAGTAGAAAATTGAAAGAAAAAAAAATTAAACAAAGAAACTTAAGTTGACTTGAAATTTCTTAGGTTTTAAGTCAAACAAATTAAATTTCATTCCAAGCCAGATGTTGTAAAACTGCCTGAAAATTTTTCCATGCATTTGTAACTGCAGGATTCCCCATTAAACTGATCCGATCCGAGTGAATCTGAATCACGGTCTCGGTCGCAATGCGTAAATTTTCAATCCAGATCGAGGTCCATTCGAAGCCCAGCTCGCCTTTCCATCGCACTTTGCTCCCCAGTCCGTGAGTATATATGTTTAAAATTTTTGTTTTCGTCGCTCGCTCGCGGTTGTTGATGCTGTCGCGTGTGTCGAAATGCAATCGGCACGAGCGGCGCTGCTGGTAGTTGAAATTATTCATTCGGTCCCATTTGATCATTTGGGTCAGCGGGGCTCGCACGCGGAACATCTTTGAGCGTTTTGGCGCTCGCCGTACAGACTGCCTGTGCGTCGTGACTAATTACTGCTCTTTCGCGGTTAAAAATAAACAAAAGAAAAGCAAACGCTCGTAGACTAATTGACACCTCGAACACAAGCGGAAATTTCAACTCATAAACGCGTTCTTTCGGTGATGTTGAAATTGACATGTTCAAAGGTCACAATTTAGTTTCAATATTAATTTTTTTCATTGTGTTCACAAAGGGCAGCTTTATTAAATGTATATATATTAATATTTTTTTACTTTTATATTTGCTTTGAATCATTGAGAATTGCAAAACATTAAAAAAAATCCTAAATATTACAATTATAATAATATCGAGTTAATTTAATATTTTGTATATTTCTATGCATTCAGCATAATTATTTTTAAATAGTTGATGAAACATTAAGTTATTATTTTTTATTTTAAACGAGAAAAGATGAAGTATTTGCTTTTATTTAAATTTTTGTAATCAATAATTCTTCTAGCGATTTTAATTAATTTAAAGAGGGGAAGTTATTTGGAAAGCCACATTTTTTCCAGTTATTTTAATTAAAGACAAAATAAATGTGTTAATCATTTTGAGGTTACGACGGATAAGCAAACTGCACGTTTCTTCCATCACCATTGTCCGCGCCAAGTTGCGCGGATGACGCGAATTTTTAATTTCTCTCGCACGTCTCTCGACTTCTTCTCGAACAAACGTCATTTAACACAAAAGCACTTTCCGAGAATAAAGCTTGGCCAAATTAACTGTACATTCTTGCTAATAAAACTAGTTTGGCTTTCTTGCAAGCGTCACCATTTATAATAAATAAAAGTCACTCTTGTCATGATGAATTACGCCGGCAAGTTAAATTAAACGCGAATTCGAAATGAAAATTTCCGTCCCACGGAGCGACGACGATTCTGATGCGCAGACTCGCAGAAAATTATCATAATGCGGCCAAGTTAGTCTCAATTGCAAATTACTTGTAAATAAAAATGAGAGAAGAATTCATGGTCTCCATTGTTTGTGTGCAGAGAGAAAATTAATTTAAAAATTTATTAACATTATTATTTCAAAAATTAATTTTAAAATTTATTCACATTATTAATTTTTTTAAATGAATTTCAAAACAATTGTTTAATATTAAATAGCATTTTTTTATGAAATAAGTAAAAAAAATTTAAATTTGCAAATAAATAAAGCTAGCAATTCAAGCTTGAATTTCACTTGTAATTTTTTTAATTTTCTAAGGGCAAAACGACAATATCAAAACTATTTAAATTGTTTGATGTACAAATGGTTGAAGATAAGTCTCAGGATTTTTTAGCTTTTTGGTTTTTGTGAAGTGAAGTTCATTTTGGTATAAAAACGGTTTTAGATACATAAATTTTTTCTTAAAATTTAAATTGATGCCACTTTTTACCAAATGCTGTTTAATTCCTTCACGGCTGAGTGAGTAAATGCAAATTGTAAAGCCTGGCAACAAAATAATTTGTCGGTGCTCTTCACTGTTGCGTACTGGTATAAATTTTGAATGCAGAGATCGCGGGCATTAGAGGAGAAGCTTTTGGGGCTGGGTGAACGACCTAATGCTCTTCCACCGTCCACTTGGCCTTTCAAAAGAGGGCTTTTGACGCACTCGCCGATTTTGATTGGAGAGCGGCCGTAAATAAATCACGTGCACGAACGGAAGCGAGGGTTGGAGGGTGCTTCGGACGACATGCGTTGATAACTGGCCAAAATTGAAATTCGCAACGTTGAATTTCCACCGAGATTGTTTGAGAGACATGAAGAAGTGCCTGCTCCATTTAATCCCTTTTGAAACGCCAAGAATTAAATTCCGACACAAATATTTTGGGGTTCTTTACTAAATTTTAACATGCAAAATTTAGCTTAAGCAAAAAATAATTTCGGTGATTAATTTAAAATTTATAATTTTTCGTTTTAAATTGCAGATTTTTAACATTTCTGGGCTGTTTTTAAATTAATTTCACGTGCAATATATTTTAAATATTCAGATACGAAGGAATTTTATTATTATTATTGTTGTTTTTTTTTATTATTGTTGTTTAAAAAATTTAAAATTATTTTCAGATTGAAATTTTTTATTGAAATATTTTGACGTAGCAAATCATTTTTTTTCTTGATTTTTTTTTGTTAATTTATTTTGCGCTTCATAGCTGAGGTCAAGCAAGGTTATCTTTCAAAATTCGCCCTATAACGCAGGCTGGTGATGCGTCGGTCGAAAAAGGCTTATCTGCTGGCGGGAGCTGTCGTCGCTCATCTCAGGCTGATGCATCTGCCAGAATTAGCAAATGCGGGCCGGTCTATTTTCACGTGCCTGTTCTCCATATACACACTCTTGGCGTGCGTTGCAGCGTTTTCTACTCGCAACTAAAACTCTTGTCGCGCCCCACACCTGATTCGCGCACTAAACCGGCCACTTAATGTCACCGCCGAGATTTACGCCAACAAACACCGCAGAGTTGAAAGTGCGAGAAGTGAAATTGCGACGAAGATACGAAAATGAAGAGTAAAATCTAAAAGGAGAAGGAAAGAAAGAAACTGTCCAAAGAGACTGACGCACGCAATCCTTTCTTTTGTTCGCGCCTCGCTTGACTTAATCGACGGTCGTTTTTGTGCTCTTGCCAAGGCGCAAAAGTTGCAGTGCTCACTTTGTACCAAAATGAATGTCAAAAAATGTTTTCCTTCCGCGTCAAAAAAAGAAAATGGAGAAATTTATATCTCATTTTTTGACTACGCGATTTAATTGTATTTTTAATTTAAAAACTAACTCTTGAGATGAGATTGATTAATGAAAATTGAAACGGTTGTTGCAAAAATTAAAATATTAAAAATAACCGACCCCACAAGATATGCTAAATCTAATAATAAGCGGTAGGAATTTAAAAAAAAAATTAAGAAGTTTTTTTTAATTTGAAAAACAAGTATATCAGAAATTTCATCTCAGAATTTAGAGTTTGTTTTTCCTCGGTGAGTTTTTTTTATGATCGATTATTTTTACAGAGAAAAAATCCATGAAAAAATAAGCGACTAAAAAATAATTTTGGAAAAGCTTCCTTTGAAATTGAGCACATCAAAAATCAACCCTCAACCGTGAAATTGTTCTAAAAATAATAAGGAAAAATATAGTTATTTTAATATCAAAGGCCACGCATCAGCTCTATTATGTTGGCCAAAAAAAAGATGTCTTCCGCCCGAGCCATAAGGCCCCATGGCTCTGACGGCAGCCGTGTACCAACATAATTTTGGGATGCGCAGCCTTTGTTTAATATAAAATAGAAAATCATTATAAAAATATTTCTTTAAATTAACAATCTTTGTTACTATTATTATTAGTATTATTAATCCTTCTCAGTACATAATAAATTTTATATTGAAAAAAAAGATGATGGGCAATGAAAGGGTGGATATCTGGTGATTAGCTAACGTAGTTGTTCAATATTTCCCACTGGGTCCGGAATGTCCGGATTCTGTAAAATGAATTTACCATTTGAGCCTTACAGATAATCAAGCCCCTGATGCAATTTTTAGATTTTGCTGGATTTTGCGATGGAATAAATAATTAATTCTAGTTCTAAAACGGGAGAGACTTTTGCAATTTCAATTTAATTTCCATATTTATTTATTTTTCCCGCTTCCCTTTCGCAATTGATGGAAACACGAGCCGACGCGAAATTCGATTTTGCAAACCCCGGACGCCGCGGGCGTATGCAAATAAAACGCGGATGAAAAACAAGCGCTCCATATTTATAAACTCGGCACACACTGGCAGAATAAATAAAGAGCCAGTGGCCGCGTAATCAACTTGTTTTGTTGCCTTTTACAGCCGCGTGCTAATTGAGCACGGCGAAAATAAAAAAATTCATGCCAGCGCACAGAGCTCACAAATCGCAAACCGATCGGACCGACCACCAGAAACGATTCCTCACATTTTCTCGCTGCCGGAAAATTGATTGGCCTCGCAGTTCAATTATGAGGTATAATGGTTTATCCCGACGCAATTATTTTTCGCTTTCCCAGCCGTCGACGCATTGTCCATTGTGTGTTGGCGAGCAGCTTTTTTGCCGCCGGTTTTTTCGGCCGCACGTACCGTACGCGCTCCATTGTGTCTCTGAAATTTGCTCTGCTGCTCCAGAGAAAGAGCGGATGGAGTTTGCTCGCCGGTTATGTAATCACGCTTTTTGCCCCAACTTTTTGTCGCCTGCCGTTGTACAAATTTCCAACACAAAAACCAGCGCAATCATGAATTTTGTTTTTTGGCGTTTCATTAATCAGCATTTTTTGCAATTCACTCGAAAGTTTTTTTCAATTGGCTGATTGATAAGAGCTTTTGGTTTAATTGATAACAAAATAAAATATTGGAGTAATTCTTCATCATAGACAAATTTTCTTTATATTACTTGCAATTAATTCTAATCATTTAATCTACAACAATCAACAATTGAACTGATTTAATGACGTAAAAGAAATTTTACTGAACAATAAATCGATTTTATTGGAAGGGATTCAAGAATGTTTCAATTCTGAGAATCTTTGCAATTAAATAATTGCAAAAGATTAAAAACAGGAGAAAATCTTTAAGTGGAATCCGGTGACATAAATATTATATTGATAACTCTATACTTTTGTGCAGAATTTTATTTTAGAATGTGGATGGTGATTTGAAATTATAGTCGGAATTTCCTTGATTGGTTTTTGAGTCATATATATAATGTTTAAGAAAAACAATATCCTGCTCTACGTGTTTTGGTTGCGGGCTGCAGCCACAATTCACGAGCTTTCTCGGCGGTGGTCAAGAGAAGTCTGTTTTTTTTTTCTTAAACAATAAACGACTCAAAAACCCACCGAGGAAATGGTTTGGCATAAATTATCAGACTTTCAATCGTAACTTATCTAAAAATCAACTTTATTTTCTGAAGTTCCTCGCTCTATATATATTTTTTATGTGTATTAAATGTCCTTATACAGGATTTATTGTTGCCCTTTAGACAGAGGGTGTGGTTCTGTGGTTGAGATTAAATGAGGTTTGGAGAGTTTGTGGTTTTTTTTATCAGCATTATCAATTAAAAATAATGCGTTCATATTTTTGTGTTTTAATCATTCTTGTATTATTTTTATAAACTTAGGAATTAAAAGGATCATCATAATTTTTAATTGTTCACAGAAGCGCAAATAAATTAAGGGGTTTAAGGGTAATTAAAAAAAAATTGTTTTTTAAATGAATTTTTGAAGAACTTGATAAAATAAATGAATTTTTGGAAAATGGCGAGGAAGTGAAATTTATACTCCAATTTGTTCAATTCTTTATCTTTTACAACAGAGAAAAGAAACAATTCTTTTTAAAAACTTCAGTTTAATCTGAATAATAATAGGGAGAAATTTGAAATAAATTATTCATGTTGTTGCTTTCAGGCCGCGAGATGTCCAACCTGATCAAAATGCGTCAGTCATCTCTTGGCAAGTCTGAGCCTTTGCTGTCCGACTCCATGGTGAGTAACAATTTATGCGTTTTTATTTTACCGCCCACTTTCTTCCCACCAGCAATAACTATATTTTTTTGATGTGACGTGTTTCTTATACTTTCGCACCTGCTCTCCCTTGACTGGAGTGAAAATGTTTAAAAAAAAATCCACTTTTAAAATTGCCAACGTGTATGTGCAAATTTGCAACTAACACCAAATTAATATCGCAAAAATCCATCAATTCTGTCTTCCATCCTTCTCAATCAATATTTCATCAAACACACTGCATTTTGTCAATCCGTGTTTCAAACAACTCTTTCATCACTGCTGCATCTTTAAAGAAACCGTGCCTATTTTATAAAAATAAATCAAAGCGTGTGTTTAAAAAAGCTATCTGCGGTAGAGACTTTGTTTAAGTAGAAAGATAAAAATAATGATCTAACGCAGCGTCGGAAAACATACACGCACATAATAAAAGGTGCGGAAAACGACTTATGTAACTTGCGTTTAACTCAATTGCTGATAGCAGAGTAACTACTGAAAGGCTGTTTTGTTAGATAAGGAGGCGAATTGCATAAAGTGAATTGTATACGTTCAAACGTCGCTATTCAAGGCTGGCATCGATGATGGCATTAAAAGTGAACCGCGCTTGGTTTTACGTTCAGGACAAATGAAGGGACGGTCACGGCTCATTAGTGGCTGCGAAAACCACCGTCAATATTAATAAAAATAAAATGTAACTAAATAATTTATTTATTTATTCTTTGTCAGCTTTTTTTTTTAAAAAAACTAAAGCTTGGGCTTTTTCCTAAAAAAAAAAGGGTTTTTCCCATGTAACCTAATACGCAATTTAATAAAATAATTAAAAAAAAAATAATGAAATAAAATTTTCTTTATAAAGAATATTTTGAATTTTGTTTTATATTTACTAAGTAAGTCTTACAATTGCAAAGAAATTTAATTTTTTATTGAAAATTTTCCAACGGTATGATTGAATTTAAAATGAATGTTTGTAATATTTTTTCTATAAATTTTCACATACCTGGAAAGGATGCAAGAGAATTATTCAAGACCATTTATAGAAATCTCTTTTTGCCCGAGTTATTGTCTCGACTCGAGGCGTCACTCAATGTGTTTCCATGTTTGTTTATCATCATAAATTTATTTCCCTTGCAATGCTCATCTCGTTAGGCTGATCTGTCCTCGCTTTTGTCCGAGCAGTAGCGCGCGATCGGATACGGTGTTGAAATCGCGCTTTTCACGCTCGAAATAGGCCCAAGACGGACGGACATAATCCAGCCAGCGCACTTTATTTACATTCGCTGCCGCGTCTGGTTCGTTTTGCCTCGGGAACGGGCGGTGCCACGCGCTTTTGTAACGAGGCTGCTTTTTATCCTGAGAATCGCGCCGTGCAGTGCGAGAGCGAGTAAATTGGCCGCTTCATTGACGCAACCCCCTTAAGTGGAGGCGGAATTCGGTCTCAAGTACGCAAGAGGAGCAAAGAACGAACGAACGTCACTTCATCCCCCGCAAACGCTTGATCAGTCTGGACGAGAAAATGTGAGTGGGCTGTTAATTGAATTGGACAAAAATACATATAAAAATTATATAGAAACAATGAACATAAGAACATATATTTTATTTAAGAAGTAAGTTATTTCTTTTTGAATTAGAATGTCAAAGAAGTGCTCCTTTCTGGTTTAAGAAATTGTATATTTTTTTTTAATTTTATTATGAATATAAATTTTATAAATAAATGCAATAGAAGGAGCAAATTTATTAATATTTTTAACAAATTAAATATTAAATGAAATTAAAATAATTTCCTGTTTCATTATTTTGCTCACATTTTTTGTTTCAATAGTTTAAAAATAAATATATCCAGAAATCATATTTACATATCTCACTCATTGGTTTAGAAATCAAGGGAAATATGGAAATAAATTTAACTCTCTGAATTTTCAATGTCTTGAATTTTCATAAAATTAATTTAATACGAATTACATATATTATATTTGTTAAACAATTAGTCGTTTGGGTGAATTCCAGTGGATCTGGATTATTATTGTTAAATTCAAATTGTTGTATAATACTTTGTAAATTTTTGAGCTTTTCACGGGGACAAATTAAGGCTTAACCGCGCGATTGAGAGGCATCCGAGCCGAAAAAATCGATCGCTCACGTCGCGGTAATGCAATGCGAATTAATCGCGAGTGCAAAATTCGGGCACGCATGACGGATTCGCACGCGAAAATCGGCTGCGTCTCGCGCGTCGGGGTGGCCTCACGACAGGGTGGGTGCATGCGCCGTGGCCGCGCGCTCGCCTTCTCCGGGGTGATCAATACGGGCGGGCCGCCAGTGCAGTGGCTGAATCCGGGAGCGACGCACGCGACTGAGGCGCCCTTGCCACCGCTCGTGGGGCACGACATGGGCTCAAAGGGTTGCTAAGAGCCGAGCAAAGAAAGTGAGCGCGCCCGCTCTCGCTTCCAACGCGCCAGGTGAGCTCAAATTTGACCCCAATTCCAAAATTTTGCCACTCCCGAAGAGCTAAAAACGTTTAAATTCAACTGAAGGCTGAAATTTTTCTTATTAATATAATTTTAATTAAAAATATTACCACAGCTTTTTTCACCTAAAACTCATCTAAAATAATTAAAAAAAATTAAATTACTAAAATTTTATTATAACAAATGACGAAATCGGTGTCTATTATTTATCATTTAATTACTCAGTTTTACTTATTTTTTGGCATTTAAATTTTTATTACACAACGATTTAATTTTAGGGCTGAAGTGAAGTCTTTCTAGGGCCGCGATTTGTGTGTCAATTTGTTTACGCTCGGCTTCTTCCATCCAGAACGGGTCGTAAAAATTAATGAGCGCGCTGGATTTTTGGTCTGTCAAAGAAACTACTGCTGAAGAATCGTATACGTTGAGACCAGACAATGCTTTTGCGCGTGCAGTGGAATTCAGGCGATATCTCTCTTGGCTAAGAGAGCCTATTTTCCGCCGGAGAACGTCTCTTGGGCAAACGTGGAGCGATCGAGAGATATTGAATTGTAATGGATTTGGAAAGGAAGCGCGGCTAGTTTATATATTTATTGAGCTCCGGAACGTTCGCCTCGCAGTTCTGGCCGTTACTTGCACTATACAGTGATTTGTTTGTCCATTTTGGGCAATTTCTGGCTTCGCGTGGGCTCATCTTTTATATTGGATGCAATTATTTTGCAGGTTATTTTCTGTCTAAGAAAAGAAGGAGAAAGAATTCTCTTTTGATAAATAATACTTTCCTAAGTTTTCCTATTGAAAGCGAAAATTCAATGCAAGGAAAATGTTTGATAAAGTAACAAAATTGGCGAGATTCCGACAAAAATGATCTTTCAAAGAAAAGGCAAGAAAGGTGCTTGAAGAGATGCATGATGAAAAAAAGTGTATTCCATCATTGCTTTTTTTAATCGAAAAAAGCTTGTCGTTTTTGTGTCAACATAACTCATACAAATCGGAATGAAAACCTCGTTTTGATTTTAATTTCCAAAGCAAAGAATGAAAAATTACATGTAAAATTCATTAATTAGGTTTCCGCCAGATTGATTTTTTGCTGAAAATTGCCACTTTAAATTTACACCTAAGCAGGATATCTCATAGTTGCAAAAGGTGGAGGATAGGACTTTGGAACATATTGATATATTTTAAATATTCATATTTGTCATAAAATAGTAAACTCTGAAATATGTGTTTATGGAGCTTTTACAGCAATCTAGAAAGTTTATTTTGGTATACACCCTCTCAAAACTTGTTTCCTCTTTCGTCATTCAGAATTTGAAATGTTTTCCAGGTTTATCACTTTTATAAAAAAAAGTATTTTTTGAAGACTAAAAAAAATACTTCATAATACTGAATCAAGAAAAGTTTCAATTATTGTTTTAAAAAGTAGATCAAGTTTTCATATTAAAGGACAATTCAATGGCCATTGCTGAACTAAAACAATGACTTGTAAGTTTATTATGTAACTTGCCGTTTTTTATTTTATTTTTGAAATTAATTAAAAAATAAAATTGTGGATAAATTTGTTGCAAGAATTGAAATAAAATTAATTGAATATAAAAATTGGGAAAAAATTTACAATATGAGAATTTTGACCATTTTGTCTCAGTAAACCGATTTTTACACCAATTTTCTTGTATGAAGCTGCGCCTAAAGTAGAATACTCTGTAATAGTTGCAGCTTGATTGAATCTTTTTACTTACCAAAGCGAATGCAGCGAATCTTGCACCGCAACAGCTCCGAATCGATTTTCGCTACTGACACCAAGAGCGCTCCGTTCTCTTACACGTGCCGAGCATCCCCTGCACAAAATCAAATTAAAAAAGCTCAAGCGAGGCCTTGCATTCATCTTTCGCAAGAAGAAAGTTTCAAAGCAAGGCGGAAAGGGAATCTTTTAATCTCCGGGGCGAAAAGCAGCGAGAATAAATAATAAAACCGCTCACCGGCGCTTCTTGGCCTGTGAATGGAAGGAAGAATCTCTTTGGTGCAGCCGCGGCTGAATGAACAGGGCGTGTGATGCAATGTGCAGGCATTCCAATCAGCAATTGCTGCAAAGCGGCCGGGGTGGTCGCGAGGTCTGCGCTCGAATTGACCCCCTTCTTCGCCGCCGTGCATTTTCTTCTTTCCTCTCCGAAGGCTGTGCACTTTATATTTATCCGCTCCGTCTCGGTCTTCCTCTCTGTTTTTGCGCCGCTGTGTGGAACCGAAAATCTGATGCGCGGCGGTGTGTTTCACTTGCCGACCGAGCAAGGGCGGAATAACACACCTTTCCTCCCCGAGCACACATGGCCCTTATTTAGACGCAAATTCAGCTCTGAATTTCGGCTCGGAAGCCACGCAAAGTCCGATGGAGCAGCCCAAGCGCCGGTTCAGCTTCAGGGAGAGCTCCAAAGCCCTGCTGCTTTTGTTTTTCCGGCACGCACTCAGATTCCTGGGGCTCAGGCCATGGATGGGGCAAATACAGGTGAGAAAGTGGAAAATGATTATTTAAAATTTAAATTTCGTCTAATTGGAAGAATAAAAATGTTCACAAAACAGCTGTGCCAAAAAGCTGGTTAATTTATATAAATTTTAATTTTTAGAAGGAGCTTAAAACTTCTAAAAGATCTTTCATTATTACAAATTTTGACAAATACAAATTTGGAACTGTAATTTAATGAAAGCGATAAAATTTAAAAATAAGAAAAATAAAGATGAATTCTTTTTTAATATTAATTTAATGGAATTCTGGGACCAAATCATTTAGTACTTCGCTATACAAAAGAAGCAAACTTTCCTTACACAGAAGTGATGCAACGTTCATTTGCCATCCATTTTATATTCTCGACGTTTCTCAGCTGAATTTTTGTTGTTGCCAACATTTCTTCGACGTTTCTATACGGAAATAGATTTAATTGAATCTTTTGAACTTCCTGAGAAATGGTATTATATGAAAAGTCTCAAACAGAGAATTCTGTTCTAGAGTTTTCCAATTCCCATATTTTACTGTAGTTAACTGTTTACAGGGAACAGTTAGATTCTCATTTTGTAATGTAGGTTTCTTTTCAACAATTAATTATTTACTTTATGCAAGATTAAGATATTTTTTCTAAATTTCGAAAGAACGCAAAAGAAGAGAATGAACAAACAAAAAGCAAGACATGAAATCTGTATTATCTATTAAATCCTAAAAACAATTATTGATTGATTATTTTTCCATATTGTATTGATCCAATTCATTGAATGATAGATAAACAATTTGTTTTAAAGAAAAGGCATTGATAGACATTTGGTAAATATTTGATCATAAATTAATATTACTTTAGGATCAGATTCAATATTTTCGGAGGAAGACGAAAACATTTGTTTAACAATCAAGACAAAACGTGATAGAATTAAACCTTGATTGCGTTCCTAAATCTGAAACTTTTTATTATCTTCAAATCATTATATAATCTGATTGAAAATTTTCACTTGGATACACCTTTCCCTTTCAAAAGCCGTCGTCATTGATCTTCACTGGGACAATATCTGAAAGATCGGCTGACGATCGATTTCGTTGCAATCACGTTGAAAGGCTCCCTGGCTTTTCATCTGCATAAGGCCCCGACCGCACATACATCAAGTGTCCATACACGGCCGCGATGCAAATGTAGCAGCGACGCGCATCCATATAATCAATATAAATAAATAACGAGCCACTTCTTATGGACCGCCGATTCATTTGGAATTCCGAGCACAGCACCGTGTGAGTGAAGTGCGTTTAATTGGCCCTTGTTACGCGAACAAAGAGAGATGGAACGAGTCGTGGGGCAGTTTGCCTTGATGAACTTGCATGTGAAATTATTGATCATCCCATCAGCCGAGCCAAGCCGGGCTGGCTGAGAGCATTATGCTGTCTCTCGGATGTGCACTTAACACGTGAGGCACAGATTCCTGCGCGAGGTCGTGAGCACCGTTTTAATGTGTCAACCCTCGTGGCCGCGACCAGTGTGCCATATTTGATCCGATTATTCGCCCCAACTAACGCGATTGCTAATTTCGAATCGGTGCTTTGGGCAAACCCAATCAGCCCTCCAATTATGGGTTGGAGAGGAGAAAGGGAGGAAATTTCCTTCCGGTAGCCTTGAGCTGTTTCAACACAATGCCAGGGAGGGTTGTTTTCTTTAGGATCGGAAATATGAGTGCTTAAAATCAAATCTATTCAGAATGATGAAAAAATAGGTGCTTTTAATACGAGTGGTTCTAGTCTCAAAATAAGAACGCTGCTGTAAATTTCCTAAATATGTAAATTTAAATTGGTCAATTAATTATAATTTTGGGGTTGCGTGACTTCGCAAAGTTAAAAATTAATTATGTGAATTCATGAGGAAGAAAATTTAAAATAGTACAAAAGTTACTATGAAGACCTAAACTTGGCGAAAAAAGATTTATTCTAAACGAAAAAAGGGGGAACAATTATTCGGTGGATAAAATTTTAAAGCAAATTATGAAAATGTTTTAATAAATAAGCAAAAACTTTAAATTTTTAATTGCTGTGATAATTTTGAATTTATTCATTCAAAATTTAATATATTTTCCCTTTTGTTACCGAAAGTGATTCAATTCACTTGCTTTTCATCATTGCTCACTTACTTAATGGTAACACAAGGACGAAGCATTCATTTCCAACTTTCCGCAATTTTGAACGCTTTGAAATCCTCGACGTCAGCACGTCTCTTTGTTAGCGGTGATCATTTGTTTACGAGCGAGACAAAGCACGTTTAAAATATCGCTCAGGTGTAAATAATTCCACTTTACATACGGTAATTTGACTCTGTTGCGAAACAATTGAAATTATTACCGAATAGCCACTCGTGATGCAATAAAAAATCAAACCTGTGCAAGTGTTTCGATCGAAACCGGAGCTCATTCATTTTCCTCGTCGGTGACCGCCAGAAAAACAAAAACAACTGACCACAATCTCCTTTGCTTAGCCACTATTTTTTCTTACGAGAGGAGAAAAAATGAATTATATTTACATTTATTTAAAACCTCAGTTGTTGGGTAATTAGCTGCAAATCAATTAGAAAAACCGACAGGAGTGACCATATAAAGCTGTCGTCGGATTCAGTTTCTTTCTCCAAGGCTGCGAGGGCACTCGCGCGTTATTTTCAAGCACCTGAAGGTGAAGAGGACGCTTGCTTGCTTGTTCCACAACCAGCAACACACACACCGGTCGGCCTTTGTCAACAGAGTGGAAAATGCTGGAAAGTAAATACAAAAAAATCTCTCCGCAGCTGCTCTCGTTGGCAATCTGCTCGAGTTTATTTATATAAAAATAATGATTAATTGCTATTGTGGCCACTTTGCGAAAGTTTGGTTCTATCCGGTCATTAACCAGCAGAGAGATGAGTCACGTGCAACTTCGCGTTTTGGAGGCTCTGACTCATGGCGCGTTGTTTTGCACGCTCTCCGTGTACACTGGAAATCAGCAGTTAGGAAAGTTTTATGTGGCCGAGAACGTTCCACAACTCGAGCAAACTTATTCTACCCTTAAACTTGTCCTTGGTGCACGTGAAGCCAAAAAAATTATAAACATGCGGTCGGCTGCAATGTTGAGCATAATTTAACATTTATGAGTTCAATGTTGAGAAAGGGGCCAGAGCTTGTCTAGGTTGAAAAATAAATAAGATAGAAAAATAATCAATTTATTTTGCATTTTTCGAAATTGGAATATTTTTTATTATTCATGAATTTAATTTTTATAGTGTATTTTGTCCTTTTTAAACATTTTTTAGTTGGAATTATGGAAATTTCGCCCTTTAAAAACAAAATTTTAAACTATTTTCTCTTAAATTTTTTATTTACGAAAGAATATTAAATAAAAAGGCAACATCCGATTTGAATTATTCAGATTTGCTTCTCCAAGATAACATCTCAGCACAAAATAATTTTCTTCCGGATGCTCGTTAATTGAGTTCCGCCACTTCCTTTCAACGGCGGTTTCTTTCCATGTAGTTTCACTTGCACCGCAGTGTGATATTATGTGTCCTGACGTCTGATTACAAATTTTGTCATGTGCCCGCGTGTAAATAGCACGCGCTATGCTCATTGCGATAAGGAACTCCCGTGCTCGAGTTTGACGAATTAGATAATATAATTTCTCGCGCGTTATTTTTAGAAAAGCAAGCTTCGATGTTTAGTAATCAGCAGCGTGTGCTTGAATTTACCCGTGCACTATTATTTGCTCGGAACGTTTCAATTATCTGCAAGGGCGCTTTTAATTAGCCATTGCTCCGAACTGGGTAAATGTTTACTCAATTACTCGTCGCTGTTAATTTTAGAACTGGGAAAAGAAAACTTCGCTTGACGTGGTTGATAAGAGCGTTTTGTAAATATGCAAATAGGTGCTAACAACAAAATTAGAAACGAGGGAATTATAATCAAACTTGAGAATGTGGGACAAATATTAGATAAGACTTTAAAGAAATCAGTAAAAAAAAGGATTTGGAAAGATTAGAAAAAATGAAAGCGTCAGGTAACAAGAGATTGATAATTTTATCGGATGGAAACTGATTTTTTCTAATAGTTTAAATGCAAATTTTTCACTTTTTTATAATTTTAGTGAATTTTGCTGGTATTACAGTAGATTGCAACTTTTTATTTCAAATTTATTTTGTTTAACATGGTCTCCAGGATCTGCTCTCTGCATTTTTTAAGATTTGCTTAAAAATTGTCTTTATTTATAAATTAAGTTGTAATATGATTGCATTTTATTTTCCAAAACATAATGGTTTTAGGTTTTTACTTTAATTAAATTATGTTTTTAGAATTTTAGCTTTCAATGAAGGGGGAGGGGGAAGAGGGTGGTAATTGTAACTTATGAAGAGAAAACCAGAATTTCATAAGAGTAGGATCTCTCTTGAACAATTAAAATCTCTAAAATAAGGAAAAGATTTAGTACTTTTTATTCTCTATTTCTAAATTTATTTCATATAAAATAAATTAATTAAATGATTACTAGTCATATTTGCATCTTTTGCATAGAAATATTTGGAAAGACTTTAACGAAGTGAAACTGTTAAAAAAAAAAACAGGAATCAATATGCCACAAAACTCTAATTTCGCCTTCTTATCTACTTCTTTACTATTTTACTCTACATTTAGTTTTTAAGCCTAAACAGCCTTTCAGAACCAATAAATTTTGAATTTCAAAACTTCTTCCACTTCAACTTTCACTTTGCGCTGTCCATACCCTCGCATTGCTCATGCCTTTGATTGTGGTGCGAACACGCAGCGGTCGCCGCCGTGCGCCACCAGTTGCCGAGGCAGTTGCAGCCAGTTGCCCCTGCTGGGGCTGCCGCTCGGCCGGCAGCATGTGATCGGCCGCATGTCCGCCAGCGAGGAGAGCTTCATGGCCGCCCACTTGCACCCGCACCACCACCACCACCACCATCACCACCTCCATCGGGTGGCCGAGAGTGCCGTGCGGCCGCAGGGGGCGGCCGCCGGCCCCCTGGCCTCGGTCATGCTGCGCCAGGGAATGTCCCGCAGCATCAGCGACTCCAACTTCAAGCAGCCGAGACCCAACCTGACCCTGCCGCTGCCCTCCGTCACCTCCCTGATGCAGTTCAAGGTAAGTGCTGCCGCCTGGCGACGCTTTCAAACAAATTACAACAAGCTTCTGACACGTCAGAGACTCTTGTGGAAAATAATAGACCAATTCGATACAAGTTTGAGCCCAAATAAAGTGTCTAAATCAATTTACTTTAATTTATCAAACGCATAAAAATTAAAATTTTATCAAAATTACTATAGATATTTCAATTCTATGAAAAATTACAGAAACTGTTCTTTTTTTTTAATTTCTATACTTAATTTTTAATAAATTATTTCATAGTTTTTTTCTTACAATTAAAAATTGAATAGATTACACAAAATTTGTGTAGTCATTGTTCAGTAATAATTTGAACATTAAGGTCTTTTCCTTATAAACCACAAATAAACAGAAGCTAATTAATTTTTCATTTGATAATCTTATTATAAATCTTTATTATTTTTAATAAAGTTCTGGTAAGCAATTTTTTTCCCGAATTGAGACACGATTCTGACAATTGCTTTTTTATCGATGTTTCCAAACTTGGTATAAGCTTGCGAAACAGGTTCGTCAATGTGGGCCATTGTTTTTCACCAGAGTCTCTTTCGTGATCGCTGCAGAGGTCGCGGGCCAGAAAAATTTGGCCCAATTTCTCGTCTCGACCGCATCAGCGCCTAAATCTTTGGCGCGACGACTTTTCCATCGATTTTCGAAAAGTGTCTATGTGTTGCACGTTGTGGCCGCACACACCACGCCTAATGCTGTTTTCCGTCTCTTTCTCTTTCCGTGTTGTGACTGTTGTGTGTTTGTGTGTGGAAAAACACGCGGCAGCATCCACGCATTAACCAAATTGCATTAAGCTTGTTGTTGTTCCCTCCCTTAATTGCCGGGCTTGATTCGCTTTCCGACCAAGTTTCCTCGAAGTCGCGTGCCCCAATTATCCCTAATTATCTCAAACTTTCAACCCCTTTTAACATTAAAGAGCTTTTTCGCTATATTTTCATTTCAAATGCATACCAAAACCTTTGAAATGTTTTAAATATTTCAATTATTTTTTTATTTTTTTTTATAATTTCAAAATAATAATTATTTCATGTAGCTTTGGCGAGTTTTTAATTTCAAATAAATTTTGGGGAAACATGGTCAAATAATTTAAAATATTTTTATTCTAATTTTATCTAATTTGATGCAAATTTCAATTTTTTTTAATGCGGATGTTGCAAGTTTGAAACTTGCTACCGCTAGAATTTCCCCTTTTTATTCCACCTTGGGGAGATCTCGTTAAATTCAAATTAAATTTTGACGCTTCTCTGCAAACTTTTCCCATTAAAGTTCGCGAAATCCCTAAGGGCGTCTCTGGGTTTCAATTTCGCGCAGCTCATCTCTGTTACTTTCTCACGTGCCGTCCGGTGTGTATTTGCAGAAGGAGCTGAGTTTGTCCCGACGGAGCAGCCGTGTGATGCATCGCAAGAGCTTAATCGCCACAACGTCGCCCACGCTGCCTCGCTCGCAGTCTCCAGTCGCAGGTACGTCGGTTCGGAGACTTTTAACCTCTGGCACAGGGAAAAGTGAAACAACGTTTTTGTTATTCATAGGAGGAAAAGACGTGCTAGACGTGCCGGTGCCCTGATGAATTTTATTATGATTATTTTTTATTATTTTGCCGTCTATTATTATGAAATAAAAGAGAGAACAGCCGTTTGGGTTGGCTGGCGGTGACTCACTCTTACCTGCCTGAATTCTTCTGCCCACTTAGTGGCGGCGAGTGACATGTTTCTTGGTAATTCCTACTCAGGGCACCGACTTTTTTCATTCGCCGCAAATGGCGAGATCGCTCGACTCGCCCGCAGTTATCTTGGCCTCCATTCTGCCGCACGCATTGTCGCAGCGATGATTTTAAAACTTAGAGGCTGGAAATTATTCAAATTAATAATATTTTATTTATTTAAATAATTTCATTCTTTACTAAATTTAATTAGAAATAATTAATTATTATATAAACCAGCATCAATTACTTTAAACTTATTTTAATTTGTTTTTCAGGGAGTCCTCTGGAGAGCCCGCGAATATCTCCGAGCCAACATTTTGCCTTTGTCCCTGTGAAACGCAGCGACGGACGCCGGTGGTCAGTGGCCTCTCTGCCTTCTTCAGGGTATGGGACAACGCCAGGCAGCTCCAATGTATCAGTAAGCAGCTTTTCTGATCTGTCCAACCGTATTTTTTTCTTTCTATTTTTCTGCGTCGTCTGCTTTTTATGACCTTTACATGACCTGTACATATAATGATTTTTTTTATATCCCCAAGATTTGAAATTGTTTTCCTTTTTTTGTCTGTGTGTCGGTGTGTTTTCTAAAGAAGTGATGTTGTTACCATTGCAGTCGCAGTGCTCAAGCCAAGAGCGGCTTCACCAGCTGCCCAACGTGCCCACGACCGACGAGCTTCACATGTTGTCCAGACACTTCTCGTCCAATGACTCCAATCCGAGCTTGGACGAGGAGGCTGGACGCAGGTCACCTCACACTAGGCCTCGCTCTAGAAGCTTAAGGTGATTTATTCAAAATTCATTGAGTAAATTTAATTTTTTCTTTCTTTTTTTGTGCCTTTGCAGTAGCCCGATTCGAACCCCAGTAATGGACAACGAAATCGTTTTGATGAACACTCTGTACAAGGAGCGCTTCCCGAAAGCCACCCAACAGATGGAAGAGCGGCTCAACGGTTTCATCAACGATAACAAGTCTTGGGAGGCGACTAGCGAGGGTCGAACGGAAGAAATCCCGCCCGACTGCGTGCCCATTGTCCGCTTTGTGCACCACCAGGTGGTTGAAATGGCCAGGGACTGTCTGCAAAAGTCCGAGGAGCGGCTCATCACCAGCAGATACTTCTACGAAATGTCGGAGAATTTGGAAAAGCTGCTCAGCGAGGTAATTAAATTTAAAAGTTTGATTGGTTTTGTTTAATTTTGATTTTAATACAGACAAGAGAAAAGTCCCCTGCGGCCGTGGGTGTTCTCACTGCACTGATTAAAAAACTGCTGTTGGTGGTGTCTCGACCGGCGCGACTGCTTGAGTGCCTCGAGTTTGACCCTGAGGAGTTTTATCATCTTTTGGAGCAAGCGGAGGGTCAGGCAAAATCATCTCAAGAAATCAAGACTGACATTCCGCAGTATATCATCAGCAAGCTGGGCTTGAACAGGGACCCAATAGCTGGTTTGTTCTGAAAGATATTTTATTAATTTTTTAATCATTACTTATTTTTCCTTATTTGCAGAGCTTCAAGAAGACTTGGACCAATTGGAGAGCACTTGCAGCTCACCTGACAGAAGGAAGCCAAACTCAGAAGATGCCAACAGCAAAGAGGAGGAAAGCAAGCAGCACAAGGTGCCCATGGAGGATGACTTTGAGGTTTCCAAACTGATCTCGAACGGAGCCTATGGTGCAGTGTACTTGGTCAGACTCAAAGAGACTAGGCAGAGATTCGCCATGAAGAAAATCAACAAAAATAATCTCATCCTCAGAAACCAGGCTAGTTTTTTTCCTTGACAAAGTTGCAAAAGTAAATAATCAGTTTTATTTCTCAGGTGGATCAAGTGTTTGCCGAGAGAGACATCATGAGCTTCACTGACAATCCCTTTGTGGTCAGCATGTTCTGCAGCTTCGAAACGAAGGTGACTTTGGAAAGTAACTTAAGAAATATGATATCAATTTTGTATTTTTTTTTCAGAAACACCTATGTTTGGTTATGGAATACGTTGAGGGTGGTGACTGTGCCACTCTGCTCAAAAACATTGGAGCTTTGCCTCCAGACACAGCCAGGCTGTACTTTGCGGAAACTGTACTGGCCGTTGAGTACTTGCATAGCTATGGAATAGTCCATAGAGATCTCAAACCCGATAAGTGAGTTTTTTACTTTCTAATTTCTAAAATCATTTAAATAATATTTTCTTCAATAATTTCAGTTTACTAATCACTGCTCTGGGTCATATCAAGCTCACTGATTTTGGTCTCAGCAAAATGGGTCTCATGTCCTGTAAGAAAATACCTGCTTTTTGTTTATTATTTATTTGAATTAAAATTTTACAGTGGCAACTAATCTCTATGAGGACTACATCGACCGAGAGACTCGCCAGTTTTCGGACAAGCAAGTGTTCGGAACTCCAGAATACATTGCCCCTGAGGTCATCATGCGCCAGGGCTATGGCAAGCCTGTCGATTGGTGGTCCATGGGCATCATCCTTTACGAATTTGTTGTTGGCTGTGTTCCCTTCTTTGGTGATACGCCCGAAGAGCTGTTTGCTCATGCAGTCAACGGTATACCCATTCATTGGACAATTTGATCGGTGAATAATTAAATAACTTGGCTTTGCTCCAGACGACATCGAGTGGCCCGACGAGAAGGAGTTCCCCATTCAATTGGAGACGAAAGACATTATTACAGCGCTGCTTCAGCAAAACCCCAGAGACCGTTTGGGCACAGGAGCAGCTAATGAGGTCAAGGAGCACCCCTACTTCGACAACCTCAATTGGAATTCTCTGTTGAGACAGAAGGCAGAGTTTGTGCCCCAGCTGGAAAATGAGGAGGACACCAGTTATTTTGACAGTAAGTTTTGTCTTCTTATTTTCAAATTTAATATAATTACACTTCATATCATTTTGCTTCTGTTCCAAATAGTTAATAATTTTTTTGTAACAAGCCAATAAAAAATTTAATTTTAGCTCGAATGGACCGATACAATCATGATTTGGATGAAGACACGGATGAGATGGAAGAGTCTCCTGTATTTGGTTCGTTCTCGTCCTGCTCATCTCGCTACCACAAAGCCCACAACAAGTTAAGCTGGGGAGATGAGGCAGGTCCCTCCACCTCCCACGAGTGCTCGCCTCTGGCTTTACCACCCACACCTGACACTGAAGAAGCTCCTAGGCTGCCCGAGAAAAACACCACCGAGTCCTCACAAACCGAGGAAAGCGATGAAATTTCACCTCAAGTCCGCAGACGTAGAAGACTCCACTCGAAAGATTCCCTTCCTAGATTTTCCATTTCAATCGAAGACGAAAAATCTAGGTGAGCTTTTTTCTTCTTGTTTTCAATTCATTTATAAATTCTTACTTTATTTCAGTTTTGGGGACCGAAAGTCATTGCCAGAGCCTTTAGGCCATCAGCTGGAGCGAAGTCAGAGCACCATCGACGCCCCCACTGGTTTCCACGGCCCTCACCACATTGCTGCCCCGCGGGCTGTGATTAAAAGCGCCTCTGCCACAGGTCTGAGCTTGATGATCCCTGCTGAAGACTTGATCCCCATGCAGGCAGTGCAGTCGCCAGGAGGCTCAAGCACCTGCAGCTCTAGGGACACTTCACCCTGCAGAGAGCTTTCTCCATTAGTCACCAACCTGAAGCCACCAGTCATCCTCAGAAGAGGCCCCAGAGGATTCGGATTCACCGTTCACACCATCAGGGTGTATTACGGGGATTCGGACTTTTACACGATGCAACATCTCGTCATGGAGGTGGATGAGGGAAGTCCAGCTTTTGAAGCCGGACTTCGACCTGGGGATCTTATTACCCACATCAACGGGGAACCTGTCCAGGTAGATTTAAAAAAAAATCACTTTTATTATCACGATTTTTATTTTTTGCTGTGGAAGTAAATTTAAACTTAAATTATGAATTTTTAATATGAAGTTAATATTAAAATAAATTATTTGCTTTTTAAGGGCTTATACCACACCCACGTACTGCACCTTTTGGTGTCTGGAGGGGATAGGGTGACTCTGAGAGCTACACCACTGGAGAACACCTCGATCAAGGCGGGTGGTAGAAAACGAGAGCCGTGGCAGGGCAAACTGGCCAAGAAATCGCTGCACAGACACCGAAAACAGAAGAGAGAGGCTCACCAGGAGAAAAGACGCAAAGCGTCCCTATTTAAGAGGATTAGCAGCAAAAGGGCTAGTGTGGAGATGCAGCAGGTAAGATTTGGATTAAAAAATCACTTAAGAAAACCAATATTGTTTATAAAATTTTTACCACATGTTATTGTGCTTTGATTTTTTTGCGTTTCAAATTTTTAATATTATTGCGTTATTTGTGTTTCCAGCCTTTGCTTATGTCTGCACCAATTGTTGTTACCTCTGACTCACTACCCCAATTTTTGGTATGCATCCCTGCCTTATCTTAATTTCATCCAAACCCTGAACCCACATTTTCCTTTTTTGTATTTTATTTATTCTATTTACTTATTTTTATTTTACTCTCCTATTTTCATCCAAAAATATAAAAAACTTTAACAAATATTTGTTGAACATATCAAGCTCATATTTAAATGCTTATTTAAAAAGCAATTTTGTTTTAATACACATAAAATTATTTGTTCGTCACAATCCTCACCAATAAAATAAAAATTTGGATCACACCATAGAATCAAGAATATTTTTTTTTTAACTACTGACTTTTTCTTACACATTTTATTTAACAATGATTAAACTCGGCAATTTCTGTGTGGATTATTGAATTATTTATCTATTTCATTTCATTTAATAAACACAATTGTTGAACTGAATTGAAATATTATTTTGCAAATGTATATAATTATGCAGCATGTACATTTAAATCAGCATAGAAAATAATTGCCAATTTTAATTTATCAAATTTTCCTGTTTTGACAAAATGAACTAAAAATAATCCTGCTTCAGCTGGCAGCTGGCGTTTCGTCTCCGATGACCCCGAGTCGCAGTTTCCAATCTTTCACCCGCGGCCTTGCCGAAAGTTTGCCATCCTCACCTGCCATCAAGCCGACGCCGCGCTCTCCTCCGACGGGCCGCTTCTTCTCCACCCCCGAATCGCCAAGCACCTCCTCCCAGTCCTCCTCGCCTGGCTCGCTGTCCCCGATCAGTCCAGCCACCCCGGCCACCGTTCTTGCCCCCTCCCACTTCCAGCGGCCGTCGACCTTGCACGGCCTCAAGCACAAACTGCACTCGGCGGCCAAGAGTTTGCACTCGCCCGGCCGCCGCAAGTCTGTGGGCCACATTCCCCTCTCCCCGTTGGCTCGAACGCCTTCGCCCTCCCCGCTGCCGGCGTCTCCGACCAGAAGTCCGTCGCCTTTGGCCTTCCCGACCGGCCACCAACCGGGCAGCTCCAACACCACCCAGTCGTACAGTCCGGGCGCCACCACGTTGACCCCAACACCCCACGCCAAGAAGTTTTCCTCGAGGCCGAAGAGTGCCGAACCAGGGTCGCCATTACTCAGAAGGGCCTTGTCGCCCGACAGACTTCATCCGAGGAGTGCCGAGAATAAGAATAAGGGTGGAATTTCTCCTCTTTGCAAAGCAACGGTGAGAAATTATAGTTTTAACTTGATTTTCCACATCATCTTATTTTTTAACTGCGGAAAATTAGCGGCTAGTCACATTCATTGCCCAAAGACTGACCTTTTTAAAAACTAAAATTTAATATTAATGGGGACATTACAATGAACATGTCATTTTTAGGGAAAACAAATTAGATGCTAAAAAAGTTTCCAATATCAAGCATACAAATAATTTTTTTGCAAAATTTGAAGCTAATTTGAGTCAGCGTAGTTTGAAATAATTATTAAAAACTTAAAAATCAAAGCTCTTTCAATTTTAATTACAAGGAAAACTTTGTGTCCCTGATTATAAAAAAAAATCGTTTTAAAATATTTTTATCAATGCAATAAAGCCATTACTGAATATCGTTTTGTGATTCAACTTTTGTTTGGTGGGGCTCGTACCGATCCCAATTCCCAAATTGGCAATTTTTAAATACAAAATAAAATTGCTCGCTAATATTGAGATGCGCTCTTTCCAGTGGCGCGCTTTAAGAATATCAAAAGTTGAAGATTTAAAACGTTCCCTGGTAAGTGCAGGAATTTTACAATGGCTTGTTAAAAATGGAAAATGTTTTTTCCAAGAAATTCTTCCACCAATATTTTTGCGTTACTATAAAATTTCTTCTCCATGCTTATTCTTTTCTAAGCTTTTGCAGAGTTGACAAAAAAAAAAATTTCATGAATGCATCTCATTTGTTATTTTGTAAAATATAAATATTTTGCTAATTCCCATTGATTTTTTAGGCAAATCAGTCTTCTTTTACTAATTCCATTTAAACCTTAGAAGTTTTAAAATCATTTATAATTTTACAATGATTTAATTCTTCAGGTGGCCAAGGCTGGTTTGAAACAAGGCAGTCCTCCCGTCACCGAACTGCTCGCCTGCAAACCGCCAGAGCACCCTGCCAGGGTGGCGCGAGAGCTGCTGCCGGACAAGGTGCAGCCCAAGGAACTGCCCAACATCGGCCCGCTGCCCCGCATCGCCGAGGAGAAGGATTCGCCGACCGGCTCAAGGGAGGACCAGGGCCTATTGCAGGCGGCCATCGACTGCGAGAAAAAGAGCCTCACCCGACGCAGCAGCAACAAGAGCCAGCAGCCGAAACCACCGCGGGGTCCGCACTCCAGCCCGGGACCCTCGGAAGGGCCCAAGCCAGGCCGAAACCGAAAAGACAGTGAAAGTCCCAAAGGCAGGGACACCAGCAAAGGGGCTGTGTCCAAGAAGGGACACTGAAAGTTTGACTTTTCCATGCCAGCTGTGTTAAAAGATTTAGATTTTTATTTCTATAGAGGCGTAAGTTATTCAGTTCAAAGTGAACGAGTTACTCTCCTTCTTTTTTGCAAGGACGCGAAATGAGTTGATTTTTTTTGTATGTTAAAGAGTTTGTGTTTCATTCTTTTCGTTGGCTAGGAAAGGTTAGACTCAAGTGATAGAAAAAATATGTGACTGTCAAGGTCCAAGAAAGTAATTAACAATTACGCCATCTCTTCCCCTCCGCCACTCTCTCTGTGACTCTTCAGCTCTTTCTGCTGTTGTACATATAATTGATGTCGAATCCGTTGCAAGCAGTTGATACTCTTAATCGTTACTTTTCATGCTTTCTTCACTTGTACAGAAATAATGTTTCCAAGGACGCTAGAACCCACAAAACTAGGTAAAAATTTTGTGGCCTCAGACAGGAAATTTCCATCAGAAAGAAATTAGAAACAAAGTTTGTTAAATTTATAGCTTCTGTTGGATTTCTCCTGTTCTAAGACCTTTTGAAATAAAAATTTGAAAATGGGTTCAGCATTCTTTCAATAAGCAGAATAATTGTTAAATTTTTTGTTACATCTTCACAACCACTTTCTATGTACCTTCGGAATGTCAATTTTTGGCCACTTCCCCCACCATAATATTAAAATGATGTCTGACTAGTTGTTTGTTCCGAAACAATTTGTTGATTGTTTTCCTCAACTCTCGAGAACTTTTTAGTGATATCGTAGCACCTAAGGAAATAAACCGGATAGAATACTTTGAGCACCAAGTTGTAATATCAGGCTTTCATCTCATGCGCTGTAGGAGAGAAAAAAAATAAATCGCTGATTCTGTAGTGCTAATATATAAAATGGCCACTTTGTTGGCCGACCATTGAACTAACCTTAAAAACGTCTAATAGGCTGCTGCATTTATTGATAAATGTGCGAGACTGTAGGAGTGTGAGTGTGGAAGAGTAAAATCCGCGAGCGAATTTTTGAATTTTCAGGTCCAAAAACCTGATCTTGCTCTTTGGCAAGGCTAAACGATGTGACGTTTGATCTATGTGACAAAACTCCTAACACCACAAATGAATGTTAATTGCATAACTTTGATGATCAACCACAATAATCTGCTTGGCTGTCCTGGTCGTCTTACACACACACTCAGCGTAATTAATTCATACTAGTGTATACTCTCGTTCTGACACAATGTTTGATGCGTAATAATGGTAAAATAAAAAATTAACATTTTGTTCTTCCGATTAATGTATACCAGAAATGATGTTGAATGAACATGACTCGAGTTGTTGTAAATATTATTAGAGCGTCGGTTGCGATTATTAGTTTTTGTAAACAGATATCCTTTTGATGGACCCTGTTAAAAAATTTTGTCACTACTTTCTGTGTGTATGTTGCAAAAATGCAATTAATAAAACAAAAGGGGATATTTCAAAATGTTCCCTTCCAGGTTAAACATTTTGTCAGTTTGATTTGATTGTAAACATTTTAAAATTAAAATTCTTCTGCCGTTTCTCCAATAAGTTTTAAATTTTTGGCAATTTGAACTATCCAAATACAAAAAGATTACTGAAGTTTTGTTTGCGGATTGTTTTAATTTCCTGGTTGGAATTACAGAAGAAGAAATCCTTGCACTTCGTATCCAACGAGACCCTGCAAAATTTTATGATTAATATATGAAATTTTCTAATCAAGTCACAAAAGAGCACCACAAAGTCTTTCGGTGGCGGCCCCTCTCTTTCAGGCGCATTGCTCTTTCTCAGAGCAGTTAGAGTTTGGCTTGAAAGTTTCTCAGACATGCTCTCCTGAAGTAATTAAGATAATTAATCTTTTTTATATAACAAAATTAAAAAGAAATAGTTAAAAAAACTTACCTCGTTATTCGAATTTGCCAGTCTCCGTGGGAGATCTTTTAGAACGCTGATCTGCTCGATGTGAAACGTTCTCCACACCGGCGATGGCTGCTGCAGCAAAATCCTCATTCCTAGCAAATTAGTCCAATCCAGCGAGCTCTGATCAAATATATGTGCAATTTAAAAATGAGCAAATATTTCCTTTAACGATGCAGTCTACAAAAATTTAAATGGTTTTTTATTAAAAAAGGGCAGGGCAGAAAGACTGCAGAGATGCCATACTAGTCACCTGTACCTCACCTGTATTTAACCTTTTTTATTACATACATTATTGTTACTCTCATATTTTTAGTTCTGCTTCTTATATTGTTCAGAAACAAATTTTGTTTAAATATTTTAATTTATTGCAGGTGAGATATAAAAGCGAGATAATTAAATTTTCTTATAAAAAGAATTAATTGACCTCTGTGGCAGAAATGCTGATGAGATCATGACTGCCAGATTCGTAGTGAGGATTTGGCATGATGACTTTTCGCGGAACTGCCAGTTGCCATGGGCTGACCTCTTCGTCAACAGCGCGACTAGGCCCCTGCTTGCCAACGGGCGCGGGTTGCTGGCTCGGCGGACCTTTGATCAAAATGCTGACCCACGCGGTGTAATAGTTGCGGAAAATTATCTCGCCGACCTCAAATTTTATCAAAATCAGTCTTAAAATGTTGGAATTAGAAAAAAATATTGAATGCCTTTGTTGGGGCTGGAAAAATGATATCAAGAATGCAAGACCCAGGCCGTATTCGGTGGTCATCCTCGAGGTCAAAGGTCACAAATCGTGGCCCCCGAACAGTGAATTCGACTTCTTTGCTGTTGTGGACGAACAAATTCAGAGATCCGGACACATTTTGCTCCATTTTTTTTACAACCTTTCATCACAAATGTAAACGTTGCCATGGTTTCCTTTGGCTAATTCAAACACAAGGAAATGAAGTAAAAATTTTTATTTAGTAGATGAGTAGTATTCTCAGAATTCAACAGTTTTCTTTAATGATTTTTCTACAGGCTGTTGGTTATACACAATTTATATTCATTAGATTATTTGTTTTTTATCATATTATGTACCTTTTTTTAGACTCGTCTTCACCTGCTGGGGTATTTTTCATCTGTCTTTGTTCATCAGTTGATATTTTACTTTATCATTTACTTAGTAGTAAACACATTTCAAAAAACGCGCTGCGGTTTTCAGCTCAAAAAATGAACATTTTAATTTTTAGTTATATATTTGTTCACTGCTTTTTAACATGATTGTGGATCTATATTTGGAAACGATATTGTTCAACAATTAAAGAAAAGGCGTTATCAACTCACACAAAATTTCAGAACCTGAGCCTTCAATGTTTTACAAAAATTCAATTTGCGTGAGAAAACATTGTTTTTTTGGAGACAGCGACGTTAAGAAAATATTTTCCACGGGCGGAAAACTTTCAACAATATTACACAACAACAAATCGCTAACAAGATGAAGGGAATGGCTTGTAAAAGTATCGTTATTTACACGATTTTTGTCTCCCTCACTTACTAGCTGAACAATATAGTTTTTTTCCTATTTCAGAGCAATGTATTTTAGTTTTTCTTTTTTTAATATAATTTTTGGAAAATGACCTAAAGAAAAACAGCTTTTCATCAAGTCTTGTAAATGGAACACTAACTAATTCAGCGCGAGAGATAGAGAGAGAGCACTCAAGAACAGCACATGGAGTAGAGAAAGTATCACATTAAAGGTGCAGCCAGCTCGGCACACCGATATATTATATAGTTATTTTTTTTCTGCATCTACATACTCATTTGACCGTAACAATATTTACATTATTTTTATATACCATTAATATTTTATCAACACGTAAGGTTGTTGGATTGCAATTATTTTTGTCGGTTATTCGTTAATTTTTAGGGGCTCTTTGTCAGCTATCATATCAATTTTTTTTTTATTATTATAAGAGAAAGAGAGGTTATTTTTACTGTTTTCTTCTTTAAGCAGAGAGCTTGGAAATGCAGCGTTGCAAATTGGGGAAATATAAAATGCACCGACCAGAATGTTTTTGAGAAATTGTGCCTGAAATTAATTATAATCAAAATAAAAGGAAACATAACATTTAAGTAAAAATAGCCAAACAGCAAAAAATGCACAACAGATCGGAAACATGTATAATGGAAAATCATGTACAAATAAAAGCATTCAATAAATACCAACCTCAGTGTCAAGATTTTGAGGATTTTTCAAGTTATTTTGTTCTTGGTTGTCATGGTTTAAAAATGTTTGGTTACATTTAGAGCGCGTCATTCTGCTAAAACATCATTTTGTTCGTTCAAACAGTATTTTCATGAATTGATAATGCGTGTGTTTGCCTCCATTCTCCGGAAATTTTACAAGCAACAGCAATCAAATATCACAATGTCCATTTCCAAGTTTAGAGTTTAAATGTATAATATTAAGGTTGATCACCCTACGCATTTCAGTTTAATTATTTAACACACACAAGAGATGCATATATAAAAACTCAAAAACAGCCAAAGCAGCAGAGAATCAAAAGAATATGTGCGGCGAAGAAGAAAGAGAGCTGATATGCACGCTTTTCCAAAACAGAAATAACACAAAAATCAAAACATACACCGATTTCACAGATATCAGCAGTTTTCCTAAATTTTTTGACATTACTCTCGGTAACTAGTAAAGTTTGATTGAGCAATAAAATATATTTATTTCCCTTCTCTACAACCCTTTTTTTTCAATTTCTACTAACTCGACGTCAAAAAAAGGATCAAACTGCTCTGGATTGTATGCAAAATCGGAGACGGATTGATGACGAAAACAAGAGAGAGCCAATCTGTGTGTAGATTTTTTTCGCAACAAAAATATCTGCCTTCCACTCTGCTCTTCCTTCTCACTCGAAAGTGCACGCCCGGAAAATTACTCCTCGACGCCTTTTCTTCTCTCATGATCATCACATGCAGGACTCACTTCTTGGCCGCGGCGCCGTTCGTGGCCGCCCCCGGAGCGGCCTTGGCCGCCGCAGGGCTACTGCGGACTGGCACAGGGCTCTTGTTTGGGCCGGACGAGCTGTTGCCGAGGGCCATGCGCTGCATCTGCCGAATGACCGCGGTCGCGTGGTACGCTTGCTGCAACATCAAAACACGTTTCAGCAAAATTTAAATTTATTTACAAAACAGCAAAAATTAAAATGAATAAAAGCTCATTAAAATTGACTAAACGAATTAAAATCTTCATTCTTTAAAATAGAGAAAATAAATTTTTGAGAAAATTTTACTAATGGAAGTGCAGTGATTAGAGGTATTATTTTTTTGTGACAATGATTTTTCAATTTTGTCACTCCTAAGGCTGGGGAGTGCATTTCTGGATTGGAACGCAGCTAAAAGTGATTAGTTTTCCACCAACTATTACATTTATATGCAATTCATTTGGATTTATTCCGCCTACTGCGGAATAGTGAATTGCAAATTACAGGGGGAAGTGAATATCTAAATTTCTCCTTTAACGATTATTAATCCAGCTAGGAGTGCAATAATTTATGTTTTGGAGATGAGAGTGAGATGTGTGTGGTTTTGTTGTTGATCATATATGTGAGATGTGCCAGTCCATCAAACAACGAGAAAAATCTCTTCCGCCGAGTACAAAAACTCATATAAATGAGAGATGCAAAAATTGACAAAAATATAAATTCAAAATATATAAAATGAACGAGAATCACAATGATTTGTTGGACTCTGCAGCGTCAGTTGTCTATGTCTGTTTTCTGTCCATCAATGTAAGCTAAAAATGAAACTTATATTTCTAGACATGACGAATAATTTTGAATATATATGTGCACAATTTTTCTAAATTACACACTGAGCAGCTCCCAAAAATAAGAATCAAAAGCGTAATCTTTGATTATTTGTCTTATGCTATTTTCAGGAACTCTTGACAAACTCTCCTCTAATTAAAATAAAAATAAACATTTTTCTCAAGTTGTATACAATTAACAATTATCGACAAGTCTACTCGTGAAAATCAAAAGAACAGAGGGTATAAGATTGCAAAAAAAAGTGAAGTACAAAATCCATAATTGATCCTACTACTGCAGGCAAACACAAACTCTGTTCACAGGAAAGTAGATTTCCTACATTCACGCTATGGGGTTTTGTCGGAACAAGTCAGAGAGCACTTGAAAAAAAGGACTCGCTGAATTGTCGTCCGCGCACATCTAGAGCAAAATTAAAAATTTACATTTGTGGCTGCAAAGCTGCTCGAAATTTTAATTCCAAATTTTTGTAATGGCTGAAAAACTGCCAAATACGTTTTAGAAATTAAAAACATTTAGAAAAATAGACACGAGTAGAGTAAAAATTTACATTCCGAGAACACCCAAAAATTGAAATTGGGCAGTTTTTTTTGCCATTCCAAAAATTCCAATCGAGAACACCGACTGTTTTCTAATCTACTGAAATTGGTGGACAACAGGCAGGCAGCAGGCGGACACCGACAGATTTTTTTTTTTGTGAGTGCAGTGAAGCAATTAGAGTTTTTGTTTGGGTGGCCGACCTTCGTCCTCCTCGGCCTCTTCCTGGATGGTGGTGCACTTGTGGCCCCCCGCCGGCGGTTCGTCCACATCCATGCTGGCCGAGCTGCTCAGCGCCAGTCTCTGCATCTTGTGCACCATCGCTATTGCATGCATTAGTTGCTGAAAACCGGCCCGGGGGTGCAACGGCACCGCATTAATCTCCGTCCGCCAATCGAACACACTCACTCAAATTCCAATTGATTTTAATTTGTTGATTTTTTTTTAATATGTACATAATTTTTAAAAAGAACGAGAAGAAGGAGGATTGAAGGAGTTTAGATTCATTTATATAGTAAAGGGCACATTGATCAAGATACTTTACCTTCCATCTGGATTTTGCAAAGTTCTTCTTCAGCTGTTCAGACACGGTTCCGTGAATGTTCTTATTGCTAGCGGCATTGCCCGATATCCTGGGGAAATAAAGAAAATATAAAAAGGTTGAAAATTAGATAAATATAAATGCAATTAATGGCAAAAAGAAATCAAAATAATTATACACATTGAACTGAACTGTAATTATATTATTTTAAAGAACATAAAATAAAAATTAAGAAAATAAGAAAAATTTATTGCTAGAAAAAAGCATTGGTCCAGCTAATAATTTTTTGTTCTTCAAATCTCCAAGAATAAATAATCATAATAAGTTTTTAAATTATGTGACTGTTAAAAAGAATCTTTTAAACATCTTTTTTATTGCACAGAATTGACTTAGTTTAAATATTTTTTATTTTTCAAAAGTAGTCTTGTCAGCATTGTTAGGAGTAAATAAATCCAGAGCCAGAAAAAGACTATAAAAGGATGTTAACTGAGACCCCACACTACACTCTAGAGCCAACTAGGCGCTGATTGCCCGTCGAGCAAATACACAAGCAATTGGTTATTACCATGGATGGGCAAGAGCTTGTTTGCAGGTGTACCTCTTCTCCACATCCACACACATGAGCTGTCGGATGAAATCCTTGGCCGACTCGCTGATCTCGTCCCAGTAAGGCGAGTCAAATTCAAAGTCACCTGACAAGGATAACAATGTTGTTAACAAAACATGTTCACCGATTTGATTTGGTGTCGCAGCCAACTGCGTTGACAGGGAAATGGGATATCCCTCTGTTTACACCGCAAAAGAAACGAACTGTGACGACCCCAAGTGGAGCTCAAACAAGCCACTTTGTGTCATCGCCAGCGGTTTAAAAAAAAAGAACATAAACAAACAAGGATTGGCAAACAAAAGTGATACATATCCTGTATCTTTTTGCATAATTCCGCATATTTCATATCATTACAAAAAAAGAATTTGGTTTTCTATTTTAAATCAAAAAAGAAATGCTTCTTTTACTAAAATTTACTTACAAAGTTGATAATGAAGCAGAATTACAAAAATTATTTTTTTCTTTCATAATTTTTTTTCTATCTCTACACTTTATATACCTTTCAAAATCTGGGCGAAGAGATTGGCGTCGTTTTCGTCGTAGAACGGAGGGTAGCCGCACAGCAGAATGTACGAAATCACCCCTATACTCCACACGTCGACCGCCTTTCCGTAGGGTTTTTGTGCTAAGACCTCCGGCGCTGCAACAAGAGTCGAGCGTCAGTTCCCAGTCAGGGCAATTAGGCGAGCGCACAAGGCGGCTCCAGTTTCACATGCCAACTAACCAAAAGTCAAGAATCAAAAAGAAATTACATACCCACGTAACCGGGGGTGCCGCAAGCCGTGGCCATGATGCCCGAGTCTTCCATCTTGGACAGGCCGAAGTCGCTGATCATGATTTTGCTGTCTTCGTCTGGACTGTAGTACAACAGGTTTTCCGGCTAAAAAATTCACAAAATTAGAAAATTTTGGCAATATTAAATTCTTTAATTTAAGTCCTTCAAAAATTTTAATTGCATTATTGAAAAATATTTCATATTTCATCAGACGTTCTCTTATTAACGTAAATTATTTTTTTAAATTATAGATGAAGATGCTTCATATTTGACAAATTTAAATGTTTAATATTCATTTAAAATTTTAGTGCGCTTATTTTGTTGTTTCAAATGAGCAAATAAAAATATTTTGATTCATTTTACAAAGGATGCTCCAAAAAGTCTTCGTAAAAAAAATACTTAAATTAATAATTAAAGTTTTACCAAATAATAAAATTTTAATTATTATATTAAAAAAACTTTCAATTACAAATTAGTAAATATATATTAACTGTTTTAAAATTAAATTAATTGTTTAAATTATTTTCAGCTTCAATATTTAAGACATGAATTCAAAGAATTTAATTCCTTTAACACTTTTGAACTAATTAATTATTCTTGAAATAAGGTTTTTTCATAATTTTAGTTTTGGCAATTTCTCTAGAGAGAAATTAAGGCGTCTCCCATGGCATTTTCCAGGCCGTCAATCGCTCTGACTGCCTGTCTGGAGCGTGAATCCCGTTTTCAATCAGCCATACCTTGAGGTCCCTGTGGACGACTCCCTGTTCGTGCATGTAGTCGACGGCTTCCAGCACCTGTCTGATCAGGTCCGAGGCGTCCTTTTCGGTGTACGAGCCTTTTTCTACGATGCGGTCGAAGAGTTCGCCGCCAGTAACTCTGCAAGAAAAGCATTCAGAGTTCAATTTCCAAACCGGGAGTGATTATTCATATGCTAGCCGCGGGCGGCCAGTTAGTCCGAAAATAAAAGCAGGCAGTGAAAAAAAAAAAACGAGAAAAAGTGGTCCCGGCCAACGGACCATATAAAGGACACAAAGAGTTAAAACACTGGCCCTTTTTTCTCTCTTCGAAAAGCCCGAGGCTGAGTAAAAACAGCCGCACGTCGGCGTAATTTATTAATTATTATCATATATTTAAAATGCCCCGAGTCTTGGATGGATCGAGGATTAAGCTTAGCGCATTTTTCACTCACAGTTCCATCACCAGGTACACCTTGTGCTTGTCCTCGAACGTCTCGAGCAGCTGGACGATGTTCGGGTGCTTCAGTCTGAAACAATATTGTAGAAAATGAGAATTTTTTTCAATATATATAGAAGGTTATTAATTAGTAGTAAAGGCAATGCGATGTAAAAAAAAATTGGCTATAAATTAAAAAAAATTAACAAAAGTAAACTCTTCAATTAATTTTAACAATATTTTTCTCTTTAAATCCTGTTTTTCAACTTATTCTTTGCTCTTGAAATGAAAGATAGCAAATCGTTACTGAAATTAATACAAGATTTTTTACCGGAGAATGAAATCCAAAATTAATATATCTTTAATCTTTTTCCTTTCATTTATTTTACACAAGGATTGAAAACAAAATCTGAAGGCACAATTTTTAATCTCAATTTGAAATTTTAAAATATTAAAAGAGATATTTCGTAAAATTCATAATTTACGTCACTGATGGTCAATGTGCATGTGCACCAGGAAAAGGTGTTCTAGCAGAGTTTAAATTTTAATTGGTTTTTTTTTTTCAAAACAAAATTTAAAACGTTTCAATTGAAAAAAATAAAATGATCAAAATCAATTCCTGAATATAGTGTCTTTTTCACTTTCAATCATTTTTATGATTTGTATTTAAACGAATTAATTTAATTTAAAATAAATTTCTGGATAATATCACAATTTTTGCAACAAAAACTACAAATTATAATTTTTTGTTACAATCCATTTCTGAGGGTTTCTGATTTTTCAAAAGATGTCTCTGAGTAATTTAGTCAAATCTGGCTGAAAATTTCATCTTCATTTTAACTTTTTGGCAAAACATTTTTGCTGTTTTCAGCTGTTTAAGTTCAGAGACAAACAAATCATCTGTGATATTTACCTAATAAATTTTAAAATTCAGACGAAAATAAACAACAATGAATAAAAAAGGTAGGGAGAAAATTCAGCTCATCCTCATCCTGTGTGTTTTGGCGCAATTTACAGTTTTTGCTGCACACATAATCTGCTTTGCGGAATTGTCTCATTTTTTGCCAGCTAATCCCAGAAACTCGCAAACGTGCAGATTTGGTCACGGCCAGAGGGAAAAATACGAAGAGCGCTTCTTTTCCAGCCGTAATTTTCAGCGCAATCCCCAGAAGCCTTCGAGCGGCGGCGGCGGCAGAGAGTGATGGAGCCAGAAAGGGCAAATGCGAGATGAATGGAGCTCTTTCCAACTCTCGGGAGAAAAAGTGGAAGGCGCAAAAAATAAGAAGCACGCGCAACTAAAGTTCAGCAGATTTTCCTTGGGAAACGTGCGGAAAAACTCGGCGCGGCAAATAATGCGAGTTCACGGACGCCATGGGCATTGCAGCTGCAAAACTCGTAGAAAAATGTGTACGTCTATTATGTTGACCGCGAGCAAATCTTGCTTGCACTGGAAACCTGAGAAGTTGGCGCTTTTGCATTGGCTTCTTTCACTGTAAAAAATAAGAAAAAACTCCCGTGGGTTCCTCATTCATACTTTTATAGCACAGGAAAGTCTATTCATAAATTTATGAAAAAGTTTTATAAATAATTTGAATTTGTGTAGTTAGCAGTTTATTTGAGGAAAAACTCAAAGTTTGGAAAAAATCCCATTTTTTGCGATTTGAATTATTTTAAATCTGTTTTCAGCATAAGAGAAAAATGCAATTATTTAATTGAAAAAAATTTCCGTCACTTTCCTTACTCTAATTAAAATATTACAATCCGATTTAATTTAAAATTATTAAGCTTGATGGCATGGCAAGATGGCATTTCAAAAAAATCATATTTAAGCTAAAAATATTATAAATCAAGTTTTTAAATTCATTTTTTTCATACCCCGATTCAATTTGAACAATTATTAGTATAAATTGATTTGAATAAAAATGAATATCAAGTGTTTAATGACTTTCCTGGTTGGTCATTAGTGAAATAAATAATTTCCACACAAATGTATAAAACTATTCGAACAATAACCAATGCGTTTTCAAAATGTCCTCACTTTCAAGGAAACCGCGAGCGTATATTATGTATTCAGGCAGCCGCAGGGGAAAACACTTTGCAATATATCCCGCGAAAAAATAATCCAGCAGAAAACAATCGACCAAAAGCAGGGGCCTCTGCCGCTCTCTGCTTTTATTGATCAGAGCAGCCACAAGTGCGTTGAATCCATCCACACACTCTCTCTCGCGTCTTCTTTTCATTCCGACCAGCACCTCTGCGAACGAATACATTTGCTGTATATTTATATGTACGAATGCTGAATTCGGGCACAGACAAGTGCGATTCATCCGGCCGACTTTTCGCATTCATATTTGCGACGCCAGCGTTAGTCAAAGGAATCAACGTCAGCCGCTCTTGACGCACCGACGAATGAAAAGCCCGGAAAGTTTATTATGGAAACTCTCACTTCGCGTTTCCATACACCTCAGTTTCAGAATCAGCGGGGAATGAATCAACCGTGAATATGTACAAGAGCCAACGACAGCAATATTTCTTGCCACATTTAAAGCCATTGATCATTAATTTAATTTTTTGTTTCAATGAAAATTTCGTCTGAAAATTTGTGTCCTATTTTAACTATGAGAAATTTCAGAAGTTTTCCTCACAAAATTGTTTAATATTGGTTCATCGTTTGTGTTTATTCGCCAACTATTAATTTAGTCGATTTGATACAAAATGCTTTTTTTTCGTTTTCGAAATATATTAAGTTGCGTAGAAATTCAGAAATAATGTATGTTTCACAGTTGTTGATTCAACTAAAATATGAGAATTACTAGCTTGGATCAATTTTTAATGTAGCACCAAAAATGATATACAGAAAAATTAATTTTAATTCAAAAAGAACCGGTTAATTTTTTCCAACAATTTTTCTGCGGGAGCTAAATGAAGGTAAAAATAATTTCCTATATTAAAACGTTTGTTTTCATTCACATCTTTTCTAGTCTCATTTTTCAATCACTTTTAGAATGCGTTTTATTCTTTTAAATAAGTTTTTGATGGCTTTCCAAGATTAAAATTAAAACTACCTTAATTAAGTGACAAATTATTCTTTGAAAATTATTTCTGCATAAATATTTTCAAAATATATATAACATATTTATTATTTGCAGGTTGTGTAAAGAAAAAGCAGTTTAATTAAAACAATAATAATTAAAAAATATGCAAACAATATCGAGCCCATGAAGGTCGTGTACCGAAAAAGCGTGCCCGAAAAATTTAATTTTATTTCTTGTAATTTTATTCAATTTAATTTTTTATAATTAAATACGCAAGTTTTTTAACAAGTAAACGTGAATTGGAATGCAATTGAAGCTAAGGAAAGATGTGAAAAAGGCCAGCCCAGTTGGGTTTTGAACCCGGCTGGGTAGGGTATCGCAGGTCTGTCTACAGTACAGACCCAAGAGTCCTACTGTGCGCGCCTCCACCCACTGGGCTGGCCGCTGCTCCAAAGAATGTGCTGAAAAAAATCGGCTTATCAACAGTAACAGGCCAAACAAGGTTCGCGCATCACAACAATGAAACATTACTTTGATTGTTGTTTGAGCAACAATCACAATTTTCTCCACTTTGAGATCCTTGTTGGCGAATTTAGAAATTCTTTTCGGTGGCTATTAAAATAATAATTCCGGCAAAACGCATTCCACATTATTCGCAGGTTGTGTACAGAAAACACAGTTTAATTAAAACAATAATTATTAAAAAATATGTAAACAATATCGAGCCCTTGAAGGTCGTGTACTGAAAAAGCGTGCCCGAAAAATATAATTTTGTTTCTTGTAATTTTATTCAATTTAATTTTTTTATAATTAAGTACGCAAGTTTTTTAACAAGTAAACGTGATTTGGAATGCAATTGAAGCTAAGAAAAGATGTGAAAAAGACCAGCCCAGTGGGGATTTGAACCCGTCTTGGTGGCCCCGCAGGTCTGTAGGTACCTTACAGCCTGAGAGTCCCACCGTGCAAGCTCATTACCCACTGGGCTGGCCGGTGCACCAAAGAATGTGCCGAAAAAATCGGCTTATCTACGGTGACAGGCCAAACAAGGTTCGCGCATCACAACAATGAAACATTACTTAGAGCAACAATCACAATTTGCTCTAGTTGTTGTGATCCTTGTTGACGAATTCAGAAATTCTTTTCGGCGCCTATTTAAATTATAAAATTCTGGTAAATCACTATACATATTATTTGCAGGTTGTGTAAAGAAAAAGCAGTTTAATTAAAACAATAATAATTAAAAAATATGCAAACAATATCGAGCCCTTGAAGGTCGTGTACTGAAAAAGCGGGCCCGGAAAATATAATTTTATTTCTTGTAATTCTATTCAATTTAATTTTTTATAATTAAATTCGCAAGTTTTTTAACAAGTAAACGTGATTTGGAATGCAATTGAACCTAAGAAACGATGTGAAAAAGGCCAGCCCAGTTGGGTTTTGAACCCGGCTGGGTAGGGTATCGCAGGTCTGCCTACCGTACAGACCCAAGAGTCCTACTGTGCGCGCCTCCACCCACTGGGCTGGCCGCTGCTCCAAAGAATGTGCCGAAAAAATCGGCTTATCTACGGTGACAGGCCAAACAAGGTTCGCGCATCACAACAATGAAACATTACTTAGAGCAACAATCACAATTTGCTCTAGTTGTTGTGATCCTTGTTGACGAATTCAGAAATTCTTTTCGGCGCCTATTTAAATTATAAAATTCTGGTAAATCACTATACATATTATTTGCAGGTTGTGTAAAGAAAAAGCAGTTTAATTAAAACAATAATAATTAAAAAATATGCAAACAATATCGAGCCCTTGAAGGTCGTGTACTGAAAAAGCGGGCCCGGAAAATATAATTTTATTTCTTGTAATTCTATTCAATTTAATTTTTTATAATTAAATTCGCAAGTTTTTTAACAAGTAAACGTGATTTGGAATGCAATTGAACCTAAGAAACGATGTGAAAAAGGCCAGCCCAGTTGGGTTTTGAACCCGGCTGGGTAGGGTATCGCAGGTCTGCCTACCGTACAGACCCAAGAGTCCTACTGTGCGCGCCTCCACCCACTGGGCTGGCCGCTGCTCCAAAGAATGTGCCGAAAAAATCGGCTTATCTACGGTGACAGGCCAAACAAGGTTCGCGCATCACAACAATGAAACATTACTTAGAGCAACAATCACAATTTGCTCTAGTTGTTGTGATCCTTGTTGACGAATTCAGAAATTCTTTTCGGCGCCTATTTAAATTATAAAATTCTGGTAAATCACTATACATATTATTTGCAGGTTGTGTAAAGAAAAAGCAGTTTAATTAAAACAATAATAATTAAAAAATATGCAAACAATATCGAGCCCTTGAAGGTCGTGTACTGAAAAAGCGGGCCCGGAAAATATAATTTTATTTCTTGTAATTCTATTCAATTTAATTTTTTATAATTAAATTCGCAAGTTTTTTAACAAGTAAACGTGATTTGGAATGCAATTGAACCTAAGAAACGATGTGAAAAAGGCCAGCCCAGTTGGGTTTTGAACCCGGCTGGGTAGGGTATCGCAGGTCTGTCTACCGTACAGACCCAAGAGTCCTACTGTGCGCGCCTCCACCCACTGGGCTGGCCGCTGCTCCAAAGAATGTGCCCAAAAAATCGGCTTATCAACAGTGACAGGCCAAACAAGGTTTGCGCATCACAACAATGAAACATTACTTTGATTGTTGTTTGAGCAACATTCACAATTTTGCTTCATTTGTTGAGATCCTTGTTGGCGAATTTATAAATTCTTTTCGGCGGCTATTTAAATTATAATTCCGGCAAGTCGCTTTACATATTATGTAAAGCGTATAAAAATGTATTATTCTAAAATCTTTCCAATCATACGAAGCTGAAGATTTCAAAATTGAATTTATCTTATTTAGCAGAACCAATATAATTATTTTTACCAACGACTTAATACTTCAATTAAATTTATTTACATTTTAGAATCTTGAATTTAAGATCCGTTCGGGTAAAAATAAGAGCAAATTTGATGAAAAGACCCCCATCAATATTTTCTCCGTTTTTATCTTATCCAAAAACAAAGAAGTAAAAATACATAAAAAGATAAAAATATAAATTAAAAGTCATTCGCATGAAAAACCAAAACAACAGCAATATTTAAAAAACAAACATTCTGCACTACTTTTGCTCAAATTTATAAAGTGCTATACAACGACAAACACATACTATAGGATGGTTTTCTCTTTTTACAAATATGTATACAGATTGATAAATCCTAAGAAATTTATATAAGTACTGGGTTGGCACCCCTGCCAAGCCTGGGAAAGCACCGGCCGAGCTCAAGTGTCGGCCGGCGGGTGGAAAAGTCGTGTGTCTCTCGATGTCTAGTCAGAAAAGCAGTCGCTTGTTTGCAGGCAGCTATACAACTAGATAGGGCACGAGATATAGCGGCGAGCGAACGAACGAACGAGCGAGTGGATGGTTCATTAAACTAAAAGCACCCTACTTGGCCGAGCAGTCATGCACTGAATTATTAATTACGCCGCCGTTAATTGAGAGACTCACCGTGGACCATCGTCTTCACTGTCAGCACCGCCCCCACTGCGATTTTCACTGAACCTGACCAAAGGGAAAATCAAAATGAGTGTGTGCTCGCTACATATTTGTTGTTAGTCATTGGTTATAAATATTTTTTCAAACAAGAAAAAAATGGATAATATGGTTGAATTTTTTTTCTCCAAAAATGAGTTAGTTCAGTTAGTCACACACATAAAATAGCTACATTGGTTAAAATTGTTCTAAAAGTTAGTTAGCCATGGTGAGAAGAGTAATTGAAAAAAACCAAATGAACCAATCAGAGATCGGTAGTGGGGAGGCTATGCGGGCACTCATTGGTCCACAACAGAAAAATGCATTGCTACCAACATGACACTCTATGCGATTGCAGCGCCATTTCGGGTTGACACCGATGACTGGGAATCAACTCAGGAAAATAATTATTATTCAGCCAGGGTTACATATGAAGCGAAAGGGTGACAGATGACTAGAAGAATATAAGTTCAAGGAGAGGCGATAAAAAATCTTTTGAAATTAACAACAGATATTTAATTCCTTGTTGTTTAAAGTTTATTTTCCCCAGATTTTTTATTGGAAATTTCCTCGCACATAAACAGGCACACATTTTAGCCTGAAATACGTTTGGATTATAAAACATTATTAAGCCAGCAATTGAACACCAAAACCTCAAGCAACAACCCAAAGCTAGAAAAGCAAAACGGTAGAATTTTAAGTTCAGAGTCATTTCTTTGTACAAAAACGTGAGTGCCTGTGAACTCCAAATGTAATATATATTTCCTTCATTTAATGGCACTATATGATACTAAACGGTTTGGGCAGTTCATAAAAATCATCCAGCGCTATCGGATCGTCGTAAAATCCAAGGACAAGCTAGAGTGTTTTTTTTTTCTTCACCGATATACTAATAAAAATTCATGCTTTCTCAAAACTTATCTCTCTCCTAATTTACGGTTTGAAGTTAGATAAAATCTACGGAGTTCAAAAATATGATTCCCGGTGATTCTTCCCAGAGATGATTTCGGTTCGTCTGCGGCGGCTCTTTTTCTCTCCATTACGAATTCAACAGTGCGGGCTGCTTTAGCATTCCATTTTGCCCATTATTTGCCCGCCTGCTGGCATGAAAAGCGCACAGCCGAATGAAAAGAGAGAGAGACGCGTGAATGGAAAAGGATGGACGGAGAGTGAACGTCGGCGCGTTTTTTATTTTGCTGTGTAACGCCGGGTTTGCGTGGGTGGGCGACCAAGGACCAAGGACGAGCTCCTCCAAATAACGTACAGTGCAAAACATTATTTGCAGTGAGAAAGAAAACGGAAAATCACTGAACATTAATTAATTTCTTATTGTAAAAATAATACATCAATCTCAATAAAAGATAAAACAATTAATTTTGGTCTCGAATAACCGATCGAAATAATATTCTTGGAATTTTAATTAAAAAAATACAACAGAGAAAAATAATATTAATTTGCAATCATTTTCAGTTTCTTCACAGATTAATAAATTTGCAACCAGCAAAAAATAATAAATTCTCTTTGTGCCGAGTTTTGCGTTAATTTATTGGAAAAACAACTTTTACAGTGCCTGCCTCAACTCTAACAAGGAAATTAATTATCAAGCGGCTTGTGAGAATTCTCTTTGGTCTTACTGAAAAACAACTTGCTCCAAAAGCCTTTGCGAATTTCCAAGAAATTAAACACTCAAAGCCCTGCGGATCCCACAAAAGGCTTAATCAGACTGCTTTCTCTAAAGATTGCTAATCACTTTTTGGCACATAACAAAATTTGAGTTCTTGGGTGATGAAAAACAGGCGAGTTTGTATTCCCTTCAAAATGAATTCTATTTTAAAATAAAAACCATTTTTTCAAAGAGCAATTTTTCTTCTAAATTCTATGCGACTTTAGATGGAAAAGAAATAAAAACACTGGCCGTTTATTATCAGAGAGGAAATGGTTTGTTGTCGTGGCGGTGGCGGTTATCGCAAAACCGCACTTGCTCGCTTACCAGCAGGCCTTTTTTTAAATAGGATTCGTCCGTTTCCAGGGCAACACGTCGGCTAAACACTTTTCGATTCAAAAAACCACAGGCAGCAATTATGGAGCAGCGTTTCTGCATAATATTATTATTGTGAGCCGTGCGTGGAAGAAATTTAACGAGTCAAAGGCTCACATCTGGTGCGGGCGGGGGCGAAAGTCGATAAGTGTGGTGCGCTCGCAAGGGCGCCCCGTCTAGGCGCCTTTTTACTTTTTTTTTCTTTTTATTTCCCGTCCATTCAATTTTCCGGTGGCTCTTTGTGAACCGTGCTCCTCGGATTTCATCGCTAAGTTCTCGCAAAGCCATCAGGCAAAATTTTCATCTTGAAAGGAACGCGGATGGAAAGGAAAGAGGCGAAGCGATTGATTTGAGATATCAAATTCTTGCTTCGCAAAAAGATCTGAGGAAAAGCTGTTTCTTTATCAGAGAGCAAATTTGAGAGTAAAAATGCGCGAGTTTCTTTTTATTGACGAAAAAAAGGCAATTTATTGATTGATTCTGTTAAACATTCTATCAGACTTTTATAAAGCAACAAAATTAATAAAATTTTCATTATTATAAAATATTGAATACAACTGCGGTGCTGCGGTGAACGGGCAAGATAATTTATTTAACTTTGAAGGAATTACTGAATTAATTTTATACTATCTTCAGTATTTAATTAAAACAATTAATTTCTTTAAGTTCAATTAATTTTTTTCTTCTCCAAACAAGTCAATGAATTTTATAAATGGATTTTGGAAGGTATAAAAATTATTTCCAAAAATTAACTTGCAAATTCCAAGCTCTTTCTTCAATTTAAAAACATATTTTGTAAAAGCGATTAAGAAAGATCTAGAATATGATCCAAAGTTGTTATGCAATTGCATCACTTCTTATTTTTCTCCTTACATGTTACAGAATCTTTTCGGCTTGCGTGTCTCCCCGTTTGCCTGCATGTCTATCTCATGGTTTCAATTTCCCCGGCCGAGACGAAATATTAATGTTTTGATTAATACAGATATCTCGGACGGAAAGCGTTTTGCAATTTACGGCGGTACAAGTCAATTAACGAGCGGTCAGTTTGTAGTTACGTGTACAACCTGATGCTCTATCCTTTATCTTGAGATAATTGGGCTGAGTAACGAGTTGGCCTAGTTTATTGAATAAAATTTAGCGAGCGTGAGAGGAGGCAATTATTCAAGAAAGAAATTGTTTTGACCCTAAAATTACTCAATCGATGCTGCAGGCTCGAATCTGGCAATTAAAATTACCCATTCGATGGAGCCCAAATAGGTTTTCAGCGCCGAATAAAGAGTTCAAAAATATTATAGCCATTTTTAAATTATTTGCTTTGGATAATACATGATTTAATTTATAATTAAACAATTGAAAAATTTGTTGAAAGTTTATTTATTAATTATTAACATTTGAAATGATATAAAATAACATTGCCTTTTAAATTTGTTTAAAATAAGAATATTTTCCTCCGAAAAAGAAACCAGTGTTTTTATTAAATTTAATATTAAACTGTAAAAATTTAATAAATTGATAATAAAAAAAACATGAGTTTATTAACATTAAAAAAAAAAATACCGGAAAAATTGGAAAGTTTTTTTAATGAACATTTTTCCAGGTGTGCCAAATATGATTTAAGCACCATTTAAATCCACCTTAAAATTATTCCTATCTTTCTTTATTGAGTACCAAGTCCAATTAAATGGAGACGTCATTCATCTGTAAGCGAATCGAATTAATTCGCCGGTCTCTCCATTCGATGCAAATTTCGTTTCGCGCCTCTCCTCCCAGCCTCTGGGGCGTGTAGTTAGCGGATTCGCGAATCCATCCACAAGAGCCGCTGTCATCGCGCTATTCAGACGCGTCAATTACTTTCGATCTGGGTCATAATTCATCTGCAATTATAATTTTTCCACCTCTCTCGGTTGCGAAACGCAAAGAAAAAATAAATCGATCTGGCGGCACCAAATTAATGAGGTTTATCATTTTGATATGTTAATCTCGAGCGGTCTGATTTATTGTTTGTTGCCCGCGTAATTAGTGGCAATTATTTTGCAATTTGGTTTGACGCTGCGCAATCAAAAGCTCTCGGGTAGAAGAAGAAAAGAAAAAATTAGCCGCTTATGATGAAAGGAAAGTCCATTACGAGAGAGCTTTTGGCTCCGGGTTATTAATCTCATATCTTTTTCCCACGGCGGTGCGGCCCATCAATTATATTTCTCTCAGGACGCAGATCCAAATGGTTAATGGTGCCTTGTTGTTATTTAAGTGATTTTTTGTTCAAAAGCACTTCTGGAGACGATGATTTATTCACACCAACTGACCTACTAACAAGGCAAAAAACTTGCTGCACTTGGATGGAATTATAATCAAGACTGATTTTAAAACAACTAGATTTAAAAAGAAAAAAAATGATTATTTTATTGAAACGTTTCTTGCGTGAATTAAAAATATGAAATTAATTGGAATAATAAGAAACGTTCTAAGTGAGAAAAAACATGAAATTTTTTGTCTTTTCGTGATTATTATTCAAATGTTTCATTTTCCGTGTTTATATGAAATGTTTTTAAAATTAAATTAATTAAAAGATAATTATGTATGCTCTTTATATGAAACTAAAAACTTAAAAAGATTTGTTTGCAGCGGTGATAATTATTAAAATAAAAGAATTAAACATTTTGCATTTTGAGAGTTTTAAAATTAAGTTAAAACTTTTTAGTTATAAAATGTCGATTTAAGGTTAAATTTAATTAAATCCTTTACAAAAATTTAATTAAAACCACTCAACGTGATCCAATTATCAATTTTTTTTTATCCAATTTTAAAAGAGTGTTGCGAAATTGCGGACATAATTGCTCAAAGGCTTGTCTAATTCATCCCCTCTGATGAGACTAAGTGGAAAAAACTGCGTTCCATCGCTGAAAATATGCGAGGGTTAGAGAGTCGTCTGATGGCGTAATCGAATCGCTCGAGGGCGACATTCCGCGCATATAAAATGCTCTCTCGCGATCGGCGGACGTGCATGAGTGAGTCGGCTAATAAAAATTCACGTTGCCAACGAATATAATGCACAGAGAGTTATGTGTGATGGTGAATTGTGACAATAAATCATTTTGTGCATTTGTGGTCGTTTCGGTGCTGGGTTTGTTTATTACAGAGTGGATGGACGATCAATTTTGCATTTGTTTTAAACAAATTAATAATTTTAGATGAAGAAAAGTTCTACATTGGAGAATTTTTGAAAGGAAGAAAGATTATGTTTTACGTAGTAAAATGCTAAAGATCATGCAAACATTGAAAGTTTTCAAAAAACGGGGAAGGATGGATTATAAATATAGTGGGCCAAAAAATTCTTTTTTTTTTATACGGAGCCATTTTTTTTTAATGATTTGTTAGTAGTTAGTCTTTGAGAAATGAAGATGCAAAAACGTGGCTTATGTACAAAACATTTACAAAAATAAATCCAAAACCGAGTCAAAAAGTCACTCACCTCCTCAGCACTTTGATTTCGTTCTCCAGCGAGTCCTCCTTGCCCTTCAGAGCCTTTTTGTCGATGATTTTGACTGCAAACATTTTGCCAGGCCTCTCCTTGCTCTCGGCCAGACGCACCTCGGAAAAGGCTCCCCTGCAACATGTAAATTATTTGGCCGTTAGGAGTGAAATTTATCTGCTGTTGGGGGATAAATCGCCGTTGGGCGTTTGGCGAAAAATCAAGCTGAGATGGACTGACTGACATGTGCACATGCCAGTGAACAAACTTTGCAACACTTTTCTCGGCTACTTTTCAATCGGACGATTAATATTTGATGCTGCTTTTAGACCTTTTGAATAAATTATGTTGCAAAGTGCAGACAAGGGTACCGTGGAAAAGAAGATCGTTCAAAAATTTATCTAATTTGCACATAAATCAAACGACTCTTAGCGCTTTGACTAAAAAAGAATACAATACTTTTAATATTTTTTATTTATATTTAATTATTTAAATAATTAAAACTGGAACAAATATAAAACTCTTCGCCAAAAATTTGACTCTAAGATAATCTTTATAAAAGTATCTCCATAATTCAATTTTAAGCAAAGAATAAGTATCAAAATATCAAAACTGGGAAGTCATTTTCTTTTAAATATGCAACATATTTTGCGTTTTAAAATATTTTTAGGAATATTTTAAATTATAATTAAAAATTATTTTGTAACTTGTCAGCAGTAAGTTTCAAAAATTGAGAAACAATTAGGTATGTATGATAACTTGAAATGAGAAGCTCTGAAGAAGTCCTCATCAGAATGACAGCCCAGGGTGTTTATTATGCTCTCACACTTGCCACTCTGCCGTCGCTGGATAATTAGACGTGCACACACAACAGCCTGTCGGGCAGCTCGATTAATTTGATAATTACGAGCGGAAATCCAATCTACGTATAAGTATATCATCTCGTGAAGACAGTGACTGACTGCTTTTGATCTTTTAATTTGCGACGCGCTGATTACGGATTTTAATTAACGTTGACTACGGCAAGAACGGGCGGTCTCCTTTTGAAATTAGGGAGAGGTGTCGGACGGGACGTGTGAGCTTCTGCGAGATTCAGCTCGGGGCATTCAGTTGGACGTTTAGGTGCAACAATTTCACGCGTTGATGATGGAATAATTAAATTTATGCAAAATCGTGTGCGAAATATTAATAAATAATGTTTTTCTTTCAATATATTCAAAATTACTTGAATTAAAGAAAAATTCATGAACAAAATTTCACTGTAGATTAAAATTTATTTTATATTAGGAAAATTATTTTAACTCCACGTTGAAATAGAAAATAAAAAATTGTATGTATCTAATGTTTAAAAGTTTTAATGGCCAAAATAAAAAAGTACAATTTTCTCAGAAAATACACCAATAAATTGTGCATTTAAAATATAATGGATTTTAGTGTATTCTTTAAAAATAATTTGTTGAAATCCTTTCACAGCAAGTAATGAATTAAAATTTTAACATTCTCGTAATGAAAAAATTATTAAATTTCCCTTTCCCTGGAAACGTATTCGGTTCTCTCCTCCCCTGACGAAAAGACTTCCAAACAACACGAAGAGGATTATTTTCTCCGGCGCTGCAAACGACGTCGTTTCAGCGGTGCTGCGTAGCCCCTTATCGACGAGTAACTATGCAACCAGTTGCGCACGCTGTCTGCAAGAGCAGAGAGAGTTTGGAGTGGCCAAAACGCCCGCACAAGGGGCTCGTTTCGTCGGCTGTTTGGGTGTATGTGTTGCCCGTTTTCTCTCTCCGACTCGAATCAATACGCGTTTGATTTATACAAACCACTAACTGGGAAATCGTATTAAAAGCGCAGTGAGAGAGGCGGACCGACGAAGCCACGTCACATAACTCACCCGGCCGACGCCTGATTATTAATAATTGAAAATTGCGCTCTGACGAGCACAATATTTTGCGCCGTCAAATTGATTTACCTTCGCCGGGTTTTGAAAAATTGGATAGTTTCAAAAGAAAAGTGTTTGCCATCAATAAGAGAAAGGGATATTGTTGAGATTGTGGATTTAATCTATTATTAACATGATCTTCAATATTTCTTTTGTTCTGATGGATTTTTTTCAAAAATATTAAATAACGAGAATGGTTTATTTAGGCAATTTTATAGGTTCACATTGTTGATCCAGAAAAGTATTTTTAATAAAATATATATAAAAATCTCATATAACTTGAAGCAAACATAAACATTTTTTTAAATGTTATTTTAGCTTTAAATTTTATGACCATATCAATTATCAAATAATCCAATTAAAATATAATTTATAACTAAAAATAAAATTAAAATAGTAAAACCAATTAAACCATATAATTATTTAAAACTCTCGGGCTAATTAGTAATAAAAAAAAAATAAAATAAAATTATCAGAACATTTAACACAATTAATTTAGGAGGAAAATCAAAATGTAGCAATTCCTTCAACTGCTGTCTATGAAAAAAGAAAGGAAGTTTTGATCCAAATTGAGAGCAGATCAAAAAATAAATAATTTGGGCTTCTATTTGCAGTTAAATTTGAAGCTGAGATCAATTAAAAAATTGAATTTTCAGTTTTCACAATTTTTTCAAAATAAATATTACATAACTTGAGGCCGAAAGAATTATCTGATCTTTTGCATTTTTCAAAAAATCCGTTCCTGCACCCATATCCAATATCAATCCAGACTGACTTAATTTATTTCTGCTGATCTTCAAGTGCTTGACATTCAACGCCGACCCTTTCAAAGACAAAAGCCCTGTATCTCTCTTGAAATCCCGCACACCAGCGACAAATCCCTTTTCCTCCGTCTCCTTGAGAGCACCATGGGAAATTCAAATTGAAAAGAAGTCGCCGGGATAAGGAAGGAAATTTGGGCCAGGCGAATGAGGTCGCCCTCATTTCCGCGACCCCTCACGCCCCGCCGCAGAAATCCATCCCCTTTTGTGCAAGCCGAGTGGAAAATTGCACGTGACGAACGAGGAAAGTGCGAGCCGGAAAATCGCACCAAATTTTTCATTCTGACCTCGGCGGAGTCGTAACAGAGAACACAACTATACTTGCTCTTTGACAGGCGAAATGCGGCCCTACATGAATGCTGGTGGGCATCGATCGACCGCCGAGCGCTGCTCCAGAATGGTGGCCAATTGGCTTTTGTGCTGCGGGGATAAGTATTTGATACAGCAGCTCGCCAACAGGGTCGGAAAAATGGTGGAGCAATTTATATAATATTTAGAAGGGGAGGAAAAATATTTCATTCAAATTTTTTAGCCTTGGATACTTAAGTCAGTTTTACAAAATTTAAAATTTAGTGACTAAAAACAATAAATTTTATCTATTTAATTATGCTAATTGAGTAGATATTTGACAACTAATTCATGTTTTTCTCACATTTGATTTTTCTGTTGGGTTTCTGAATATTTAATTAGTCATTATTCATTTAATAGAATAAAAATCTGTAAATAATTTTTTTTACATTCATGTACTGATTTTCAAATTCATTCCGTTTTCAGTTGTTTTGCCTGTTTTTGCCATTCAGTATTATTTGAAAATTCGATTTAAGTTCATTCCGATAAAAATTGTATGATTCATGCACACTGAAGGCTCATGAAAAAGCATAAAAAAAATCAAATCTAACAATATAACATTTAAATTAAATAATAAACATAAAATGCAAAAGAAATCGAATTTCAAATTGTTTTATTTTTCAGTTTATTCGTAGAACTCCTAAAAGGCCTCAAATCAAATATAAATTCAGAGGAAAGCACTTAACAAATAGGATCAAACCTTTTCCTTGTGCTCACTGACTACACAAATCTGTCTGTGTAATTCGCTAAATCCCAAAAGTCCATTGGCAGCTGAAATTCAAGTGTTTTATTTTTGCTTTAGTCTGCTTCAAAATCTACCATTCTCAAATAATGGTGTTTGGTTGATCAAAAAGGTCAAATTTACGCCGTGCTTTTATTGTGCTTTGAGAGTTTCTTTCGAGCATCGCCGAGTGCGATCGAGAGGTGTAAAAGTCGTGAGTCGAAGCACTGATTTATCGGTCAGATTAGAAGCACACTGGCCGTATAAATAATAAACACAGGCTCAGTTTCTGGTCCGCGCGTGGGAGGTTCCCGATTCTCCTTTGCAAAAGAGCAGGGCAGTGTTTAAAAGTTCCACAGTTTTTTTTAAGCTCTTCCAAATAATTTTATCTAACCGACGTCATTCGTTTCCTTTTCGTGCCACCAATGAAAACTACTCCTGTTGAATTGATTCATGAATAAAATTTATATTATTATGATAGAAAAATAATAATATGGTAATAACCGCTATAAAATTGTTTCAATGTTTAGAAATAAAATCGTACAATAGATAGAATAATTGGAACTCAACAATTGAACCACATAAAAAATACGTTAAAGCTAAAAGAAATAATAAAAATCTTTCCATAATTTAATAAAATTACTGATAAATATTTAAAAAATTTTATTTTATTTTTCGTTTATAAAGGAAATATAATTTTTTTATTTTTTTTTTATTATTATTATTATAAAATGAAATTTTGGAAATTTTTGGAAAAAAATCCAGTAATTTCAAATTTTTGCTTCTCATTTTTGAATGATTCTTTTATCCAAGCACAAAGTTTATTTTCACCTTTCCAGCTTACTTAAAAGTGCTTCTCTCAATCCTATAAATCATTCAATTTTTTCATCACTGCCCCTCTGTTCTTTCTCGCGATCGGCAGGCGGTCCCGTTCCGATCGGAAAGGCGAATGTTTGCAGGAAATCATCGCCCGGTTGCTGCTGCAAAGACTGCAGGCCAAATATTTTTGTAGCCGCCAAATTACGTTGAGCAGACGGCCGACATTAATTTATCATGTTGGGGAGCAACGTGTGCGGCCGTAAACAAAGCCGACGTTTATTCCAGCGAAAATCGCAAAGACAATTGCCGCGCAGATTTTTCGGTGAAAGTTTATCATAAGCGAGTGAAGGTGCAAAAAAGCGGCACGGGCCAGATGGTCTTGTGGGTTCGAAAGCAGTGTACAATCATAATTTATATGGTAATTCCGAGCATGTTGCTGGTCATTCATGGGCTACGTGAATTTTCGCCGCAAGGCATGTTTCTGCAA